TAGACTCAACCTCCTATCTATTTAGATAGTTACCCTATGTATAGATAGCAAAAGTTAGGAGATTGAAAGTGGGATCGAGAGAATACAAATGAAAAAATAACAAGGAAGAAAAGAGAAATAAGAGAAGGAAAAGGAAAGTAAGATAGAAATCAAGAAAAAAATGGGGGGAAGGTGGGGTATATGCAATTCCTCTATATTATATTACTTTGGTAATTTGGTTGTTCATGCACAGTTCTTGGTTTCACATACGCTGAAGTTGTGGAAGAGAGAGAAGAAAAGAGAGAAAGAAAGAGGAGAAAAAAAAAGTCTCTCAGAGCACTGTTTTCCTTGCTTCCAGTAGGTGGCGTTGTCTATTCCTAGCTTGAGCCTCTGTATTCAGGGTGGTGGGTATAGCCAGTGTGAAAGGAAATGAGCTTCCACCTGTGTCTTCCCTACTCTAGTCTCTGAGGTAGAAACCAGGTGTCTGTACAGTTGTTGTTTTGCGTTGATAGCTACAACCCCCAAAAGCTTGTGGGAAATATTTTGAGTTATGGCAGTAAGGGTGGGGGAGTTGGAAACCAGGTACCTGGATCAGCCGCAGAACCGTGCTGGTAGCCACACCCCCTTTGATGGGTTTTAAGGGTTGATGGGCTTCCTCCGGGCTAGCACTTGGTTGGGTCCGGACTTCCTCCTCCGGTCTGGCTGGGTGCCTGGCGTCTTTCCGTGAGCTAGTTTTGTTACAAATCATGTAAAATAAATAAATAAATGGTTTTCCTTATAAATTTGAAATTTTCTTTTTGAAACCTTTTTTTAGAATTTAAATTCTTGGAAGAGAAAATTATCAACAGCTAAAACTGTCCAGCTTTAATTTGAAATTATAATTCCTTTATATTGACAATTTTGTCTATATATTTATATACACATTTATTTATACACACTTGGTTCTATTTTTCAACCTGGAGACATTTACCTCTTTTAGCTTTCTTTCATTGTCACTCTTTTATCTTACTTTTTAATGTTTTCATTCTCTTGCCTTCTTGTTGAGTACATTCTCCTTTTCTCCATTTCTTGACACTCCATTTCAAACACTTTCTCTTAGGACACTGTCCATATATGTTAAGTCCCATTTGTTTTTTCCTTGATCAAATCTCCAGTTTCTCTCAGTCACTACTTAACCACTGAAAGTGATAAGGTTATTTTTTCTTTTATCCCCAAATCCTTCAATAATTCTCTCATCATTAATTGAAGTATCATCATTTCCTCTGTCCTGCCTCCTCATTCCTGTTCTCTCTTCCCCAAATCTTCCTTTTCTATAATACTTGTTTGGGTCTTCTGATTTCTGTTTTATAAACAAAATTTTCAGTTCATAATTTCACTTTCTTTTTTTCTTTTCTTTTTGCAGTGCTGAGGATTCAACCCAGGGCCTTCTGTATGCTGGGCCAGAGCTATAGCATTGAGCTACATCTCCGGCCCATATCCTAACTTTTTATTATCACATAACTTCTTTTCTATATCATCTATATGTTACCATTTCAAGTGTTTTCTCTCTTGATACTTTTTTCCCATTCTCAAAATACTCTGTCAGATTTCTAACTCATAGTATGCTATATTTGTGATCCATTTTCACTTTTTTAAAAATCTATTCCTACATCCACTCTTTCTGATCTTTTTAGCTGAGTCAAATTTCCCCTTTATCTCTTTGTTTATCTTCTAATCCTGTAATTTACTTTCCTCTATGCTTATAATAACTTTCTATCTCACATCTATCAACCTACATATATTCTCATTTAAAGTTTACTTGAAATCTTAACTCTGCTTAAGTGGGAAAAGAGCCCAAAGCCTGATTTATATATTTTTTCAAAAATCTGTATGCTAAATTAAAGGGAAATACCTCATGGAGTAAAATCAAAATCCAAAAATCAAAGCTTCTGGGAAAGAAAGTAGATTTAATATGTCAAGGCCATCCCATTAACTTTGCTTAACTTTGTTCACAATTAAGTGAACAAACTATGTCCTTATTGTGCCCAGCATATGTTGAAAGTTAAGGATACAGACCCAGAGGTAGAAAACATGGTTATTGTCCCCAGACAGACCTAATAATCTAGATAAGGAGAAACAAATAATTATACAACTTAGATAGTAGTTGTAATAACCAGTCTAATTACCTAATGCTAGGTTATGTAATGTGGAACTGAAGTGTTATAAGTGTTCAGAGAAAAGGAAAGCATTAGTGCTTGGGGTTGCTAATGAAGATTTCATGTGGGAAGTGTGTCTTAAAGAAAATATAGAATTTGGATTAGCTGGACTTGAATAGAAGAATTTTGTTAGCATTACTTAGTAAAAAGATAATTGTTTAGCAAAGACCCTAGGGGGAAAATTAGCTATTAGTTTAAGAAAATATCAAACTTTGTTCTAGGAAGTAGCAGGAAATATAATTAGATAATTAAAGTTGGACTAATTGAGTGAGAGCCTTGAATTTCAAATAGAGGAATTACAAAATGTTAAAAAGAAAATCCCTTCATTAAAGTATTGTTAATCAAGGTTTTGTCTTAAATATTTAAGTTTTCCTTAAATAATAATACATTTAACTAATATTAAGTGCTTTGCTGTGTACTAAGCATTGTCCTAAGTGCTTTATATGTAATAATTCACTTAATATTTACAGCAACCATTTGTGGTAGGTTCTTTTTTTACTCTCCTTATTTTATAATTGTGGATAAATGCAGGTACTCAAGTGGACACAAGTAAGTGACAGAGGCAGGATTCATATACAGGTAGTCTGTGGTGCCCAATTTTATATTCTTACCTATTATACAAACAACCTTGTGGAGGAGGTGTATATAAATGCTGCAGATACATTGTGAGAATTGAACAATTGAACTGAACTTACTCGCTAATTGAAAGATATTTTTCTCAAACACTACTCATATTAGCACATGATAATCTTTTCATCCCAAATATATTTTTTTTCTTTAAAAACATTATTAAAAGGCTCTTTGGGCTAGAAAAGTTGAAAAACAAATTCATTCCTTTTGTCACATGAAGTGGTATTGATTTTATTTGTCTCTTGGAACATTTAGTTTCAGCAATCTTTCTATTACAACAGGGCTTCTGGTTGGGACTCTTGATTCAGTCTTGGACTCTACTGCTAAAGTAGCTCCATTTCGCATCTTACACCAGACACCAGATTCTCAAGTTTACTTGTCAATTGCATGTGGTGAGTATGATTTTTAAAATGTATTACTCAAATTGAGTAAGGATACTAAAAACACTGAATGTTCAAATTTATTTCTACTCCTCAGTTGTTTTGAGATTTAGAAATTAGTTAAGTGTGCAAATCTGCTTTGGGAAAGTATTAAGATCTCTGTTTATTTAAGGATAAGAGAATATTAGGAATTTTTAAATCTAGTGATGTTAATCCCCAGCACTGCAAAAAGGAAAAAAAAATCCAGTGATGTAAGAAACTAGAAGCATGTGATCCAACAGTGCTGATTCTGAGCAGATTTTGGTCAGTACTACTGCTGGATGATTCATTTTTTCAACTTATTTCTGCTTCATTCAACTGTTAGAAAGAAGGAACCTTCCCCGTGAAATATTTATTTCATATATTTCATTTCTAATAACTCAAATGAGGAAAATGTGAAGTTAAATATGATCCCAAAACTTAAAGCTTGTCCCATAAAGAAGTATAAGACTGAAAAATTGAACCTTTTTTTATTCATACACCTACTTTCTCAAAAAAGGCATCATATCCTTAAAATGTGAATATTCTTTCCTGCTACATATTCTTTCATGCTGGGGTAGTTCAGATGTTTCCACATATATATTGTGGGTAGGAAAGGAATTGTGATAATTTTTTTAATAAAACAAGTCAAAATAAGTTTTTAAATACCCACAGTGACAGTTTGTTCTTGTTTTTTGATGCTCTTGTATTGCTGGTCCAAATTAGAATCTCAGATTTCTAGATTTATGGCCTTTTTATGTTGAAGTACTGCCTTTTTTCTTTTTTTCTTTTACTCTTCTCTTCTAATATAGATATACTTTTAAAAAACAAAAGCATATGAATTTCTAGACATGTCATATGTATGAATATACAACATATAATTAATTTTTGTCTCCTGGTTCTTTTAAATTGAATGCCACTTGAACTAAATAACGAGGACATTACAAAAATTCTATAACCTCAACTCTAAATCTGATTGGTTGAAATTATTTAGAAACAAATGTCCTTTCTACTTAAAAAAATAAAGGATGATTATATAACATATTCTCCCAAGTTAAGCTGATGCAGAAATATAGTAATTACCTGTGAGTGAGCTTTCACGTACATAAAAGATCAAAATAAAGGCTTTAAAATTTCCTCATGGCTCTTATTTATAGATCATTTCTTGGTATGGCAACTTTAGTAACATGATTGCAATTCTAACTGAATTTTAGAAAATAAACAATTTGGCAGTTTCAATAACTATTTTATTGTGTCAGTCTCCATATATTATAAAATTTTCTAGCTGGGTGTGGGTGCATGCCTCTAATCCCAATGATGCAGGAGGTTTAGATAGGAGGATTGCAAGTTTGAGACCAGACTTAGCAACTTAGTGAGGCCCTAAGCAACTAAGCAAGGCCCTGTTTCAAAATAAAAAATAAAAAGGACTGGGGATGTGGCTCAGTGGTAAAGCACCCCTGGGTTCAATCCCTAAAACAAAAAAATAATATTCTAAGAGGTCAAGATACTTCTTTTTTAATGATATTTGTATTATCCTTGATTCTGGGAAGACCTTAAAGGTAAATGGGAGTAAGGGGAGACTGATAGACATTGCTAAAGCAATTTAGAACTAATATTTAATCTGATTTTCAATAAGTCACCTAACACTGATTCAGTAAGTCACATGAATTTAACCTTGCTACAGGTTTTCTAACCTCATTCATGAAATTGCTGTAAGTTTACTAAGTTATTTAACATATGGGGTAACTGAACAGAGGTTTCATAAGTTGAGTGGCCACAGTTGAAATCCACATTTACACAGTGTTCCTAGGATCATCATATGCATGCTGTTTTCAGCCATACAGATGGGCAACATATGCTAGTTGTTATTTGAAGATCAAGGATTAAATTATGTATGTATATTTTCTGGTATTTTACATGTCCTCAAAAGATAATAAGCATCAGTTACTGTTATATTGTTTACAGAATTTTATATCTTTTTTGTGTGAGCTATAATTAATTTTTCCCCTTTCATTATATATTATTTCTATTTATAATGATAAATATATTCATGCCCACATATAAAGAGGAAGTAGAATAAATGTAATACCTTTATTCATTTATGACTATCATTTCTGAAAGTGAGCAGATACATTCCTTTTAAAGTAAGCTTCTAAATATCAACAGCCATTTTGTTGTGACTTCCCTTGAGTCATATTCTCTTATGTTATTAATCAGGAGCCAACAGAGAAGAAATAACCCAGCATTGGGATTGGTTGGAACAAAATATCATGAAGACCTTATCTGTGTTTGATTCAAATGAAGATATTACTAATTTTGTACAAGGAAAGATACGAGTAAGTGGTATAGATACATTTTGTAAATGGAATACTAAAACCTTTGACCATCTTTTATGAGGATCAGAAGTTATATGGAAGATCATTCTTTTTTTTGTACTTTTTATTTAGAGACAGAGTCTCACTGAGTTTTTTAAGGCCTTGCTAACTTGCTGAGGCTAGCTTTGAACTCGTAATCCTCTTGCCTCAGCCTCTGGAGCTGCTTAGATTCTAGGCATGTGCCACCATGCTCAGCTGGAAGGTCATTCTTTTACTAGCACTTTTCAGGATTGGTAGAACCACATGTACGATTGCCAGAATAATGCTTAGGAAAACTAAAGCTGAGCTGGAGGTATACCTCAGTGGTAGAGTACTTACTAGCCTAGTATGAGGCCCAGGATTCCATTCCCAGCACCACCAGAAAAGAGAGGGAATATTAATTTAAAGCCAGTGGTTTGTCATTGGTGCTCATGTAAGTATTTTTAAAGATATTTTCATTTCAATATCTCTTGAGTTTACAGTTTGAGTAAAACCTTTGTTCAAAAGAAAATGAAAACTTTTTTTTTAAAAGGCATTTTCCTATATAATCACAGTAATATTCTTTTTAAAGAGAGAGCGAGAGAGATAGAAAGAAAGAATTTTTTAATATTTATTTTTTAGTTCTCGGCGGACACAACATCTTTATTTGTATGTGGTGCTGAGGATCGAACCGGGCCGCACGCATGCCAGGCAAGCGCACTACCGCTTGAGCCACATCCCCAGCCCAATGAAAACACTTAATACTTTTTTTGTGGTAGCTTCTTGAGGCATTAGAAAAAACTTAGTACAAAACCAAAAAAAAAAAATCTGCTTACCTCTGTCCTAAGTGGGGGGGGGGAATATATATATAATATAAACATATATATTTAAAAAATTCTGCTTACCGCTATCCTAAAAGAAATTATATATATATATATATATATATATATAGTGTGTGTGTGTGTGTGTGTGTGTATAACATTGTATGTAACTATATGGATATGTAACAGTTGTATTCAATCAAACATATAAAGTTTATTTTTTGTACATGATGATGAATTTTTAAGAAAATATTTTGTCTCCTCTAGGGATTAATTGCTGAAGAGGGAAAACATTCTTTTGCAAAAGAAGATGATCCTGAGAAATTTCGAGAAGCCCTTTTGAAGTTTGAAAAATCTTTTGGTTTACCAGAGCAGGAGAAATTAGTGACCTATTATTCATGTAGTTATTGGAAAGGACGGGTTCCTTGTCAGGGTTGGCTCTATCTTAGTACCAATTTTCTGAGCTTCTATTCTTTTTTGTTGGGATCAGAAAGTAAGTGGTTTCTGTTGATTATCACGGTTTTGAATTTGCTGGCTGACCTGTTAACTCTGTGGTGGTGTTAGGTTATATAAAAAGTAATGAGATTGACATTAAAGGTAATTAAACTGTACATCAAAAAGTTCTCTTCATCTAGAGAAAGAATCCTTATAGGACTGGTTGCTTAATATAGGAAGCTTTTAGAAGTGTTTATAGAAAGCTTCACATATTGTGAGAAGTGAATGAATATTAAATCATGATGGCAATCTGGCATCATTATAACTACTTTCTTTCCCTTGTTATAAATTACCTGCTTGCTTCATTCCATGTTTTAATCCTTGTTTTAAACATTCAGTATGAATCTAGTAGCCATTGTACTTAATGACCCACCCCTCACTTTGTAGCCCCAAATAAAAATCAAACAGTACTGTGTATAGTATATGTACAGATTTTACATCAGGGATTATATAATTAAGTAATTATATAAAGAAGCATTGAAATATCAAATCAGAAGCATTTTAATTCTTTAAAATTATCTGTTACTAGAATCACCAATTATTGCATATTCATGGTGATGTTTCAAGTTTTTAACTAATCTGGAACTCAAATATTTTAGCTGTTCATAGCATTTTTCAAGTGGTTATTATTTAAAAAGGCCTGATTTATGAGCATAAGTTAATATTGAGAATTTAATCATGCCTACTTACAATTCTTATTTGCAGTAAAACTCATTATCTCCTGGGATGCAGTCTCAAAACTTGAAAAGACTTCAAATGTTATACTGACAGAGAGTATTCATGTATGTTCTCAAGGGGAGAATCACTACTTTTCAATGTTTTTGCACATTAACCAAACCTATCTTCTTATGGAACAACTGGCAAACTATGCCATAAAGAGACTTTTCGATAAGGAAACATTTGATAATGACCCAATCCTTGATGATCCTCTACAAATTACCAAAAGGTACTCAAGGCTTAATATTCGTTTCTTTAAGTATTGTTTGTAAGAATAATAGCATTGATTAGCATTAAAAGTTGACTGTTATATTATAATTTTGATTTGGAGTTGATCATGGATATGTTTTTGTATGAGTTTATTCATATGCATTTTCACAAATTATTGCATTCTCTGTGAAATTTAATCCAAATAAGGAATAGAAGTTAATTTTTGAAATTTAGACAGGATTTTTCTGGACTGTTTCAGAAATGTAGAAATTTGTGTGTATGTGATTAGTCTAACTTCAAATTTCTCTGTGAGGAGTTTAGATGATTTCAGGTCTGAAATTGGTTGTTAAACTTATTGTTTTTTATTTTTTTAAATAATCATTTTTATATTATAGACAGCATAGTATTTTCATAGTACTGGAATTGAACACAGGACATGCTAGGCAAGCCTTCTACCACTACATCTTCAGCCCTTTTAAAATTTTTCTTTTGAGAGTCTCACTAACTTGTCCACCCTTACCTACAACTTGTGATCCTCCTGCCTCAACTTTCCAAGTTGAGCTAGCCCAATAGCATGATTTTTTTTAATGAAGAGGCAAGTTAATGTAGCTAGTGATGCATGGGCTTTAGTATAAAAATAGAGCAATTCTTAGATAAGTCATACACTTAGGATCTCAGTTTTCTCATCTTGTCTTTTCTATCTTAGAGGGCACTTATGTGGAATGAATTAAACATTTGTGAAAGCACTTTGTAAAATAAAAAACAATAGGTAAATAATAATCATTATTAGTGCCTAAATCAGAAGTATCTGACATATAGCTATTTGCCAGTAGATTCAGTTTGCTGATACTGAATAGAGCCCTTTCATTCCTGCTCAATACTCAAACAGGTGACTGGAAGAAGCTTGCCAAAGCGTAGGAGGAAGGGAAAGATTCAAGAAATAGCTTGTGCAACCAGTTTCTAGAAAGGAAGATGAAGGTAGTCTGTATGGGAAAGAATAAGAGTAACGTAAGCCAAAGTTATATGTATAAATCAGAATATCCCTAATCAAGTACAGTTGTTTCTTTTGAATATTTCTAAACCATTACTAAAATCTAGATGCGTAAAGATTTCTTTGTAAGACTGCTTGCCTTTCTGGAAATTAGATTAGAGGTCAATTTTTTAATACCTTATTGCCAAAATTAGGTCTCAGTGTACATGATTTATAAATAGTACTCTATAGGATTAAGAGTCCTATTCATGTTATATTTTAGTTGGACATTTGCTTTTTAGTTTTTTCCTTGATTGGCTGCTATAAATGATCTTTTTAGCCATTTTGTTTCCCTTGAAATTTTCTATAGAAGGTCTTCTATTAATAAATTATTCATTATCAATTTGTATTTAAATAAGCTATAGTAAAATCCATTTTGTCTGTGTATTTTTAAGAACCTATTGAAGAGCTGGGGTTGTAGCTCAGTGGTAGAGCACTTGCCTACCATGTGTGAGGCACTGAGTTTGATCCTTAGCACCACAGAAAAAATAAATTAAAAAAAAAGTTATTGTGTCCATCTAAAACTAAAAAAAAAAAAAACATTAAAAAAGAACCTATTAAAAACCTTATATATCTAAATCTTTATTTCTAGAAAGTTGAAAAGAACAATAATTGATAGCTATAGTCTCCAAATCACTTTTTCTAAAATGGAATGTCTTTACTGACTCTGCTTATTATTTTTACAAATATGTATTACTTCTGTAATTAATCATTTTATTATTGTGATTCTGAGGATTGAACCCAGGGCCTCACACATGGTAGGCAAGACCTCTATCACTGAGCTGTATCACCACCAGTGACTACTTCTATAATTTTAACAACACAGAAGCATAATAATATTTCTTAGTGTGTATCCATCCAGTCATATATATATATATATATATTTTTTTTTTTTGTTTTGTTTTGTTTTGTTTTAGTTAGTTAGTTAGTTAGTTTTAGGAGGTTACAATATCTTTATTTTATTTTTAAGTGATGCTGAGGCTTGAACCCAGTGCGTCATGCATGCTAGGCAAGCACTCTACCACTGAGCCACAACCCCAGCCCCATCCATACAGTCCTTTTAATGCATTATGTTTTTTAAACACAATACCTTTATTTTATTTACGTGGTGTTGAGGATCAAACACAGGGCCTCACACATGCTAGGCAAGCGCTCTACTGTTGAGCCACAACCCCAGCCCCAAATGCATTATTTTTTTAGTTTGAAAAAAAATATATGAATGGGACTGAACGTGACATAGTTTTTTCTCTTACTATAATATGTCACAGACCCCTTTCTGTTCATATAAATGAACCACAATCATTCTTTTAAATAATAGTGAAGTAACCTGTCAAATTACAATTTACATAATTTAAAAATTAACATGGTTCCTGGTCATATTTGTCAAGATTATTTTGAAGACATGTTAAAATACCATATTCAAATAGTATATGTGGGAAGGATGAATATAGTTTTAACTTGGTTGGATTTGAGTTAGAACTTTCATAATTTACTTATTACTCCAGATGGCATTACTGCTTAGCACAAGTATTTAGTGCCCCTAGGAAAATTATACCATTGAAAGCAGTTGCTTTTTTATTTATATATTTATGTATCAGTTAACAAGTCATTTGTATTTATTAACTACTATTCCGTGCACAACCCTATACAAGCAATGTTGTTTTAGCCTGCCTCTATTTGGGGTATTTTTAAACATTGGTTTAAATTTCCATTTCACTTAATTTCAGTACTATTTCAGTACTTAATTTTAGTACTTAAATTCAGTACTATTCAGGACTATTCTTACTCTCTGAATATTTTTTTTTGGGGGGGGAGGTACTGGGGATTGAACTCAGGAGCACTCAACCACTGAGCCACATCCCCAGTCCTATTTTGTATTTTATTTACAGGCAGGATCTCATTGAGTTGCTTAGTGTCTCGCCATTGCTGAAGCTGGCTTTGAACTCGTAATCCTCCTGTCTCAGCCTCCCAAGCCACTGGGATTACAGGTGTTCATCACCACACCCAGCTTCCTCTCTGAATTTTGATGCCATAAATTTTCTGTTGTTTGAAATGGGTAACTCTTGATTTTCTGATGACCAAATATGTAAATTATTGTCTGCTGAGAATGGTTTTAGTCAAATTACATATTATGAATATATAATAATATAATGATGGTCTTCCAGCAAAGCACTCTACAATAGATGTGTTTAAGACTTGTGCACATATCAATCTTCTAATAAAATAAATTATAAAAAATAAGAAGTGAAATGTATTTGTTAAGAATCATACTTTTTTCCATTTCAGAATTCATTGAAGAATACAGCATTTTGTATTTAATCTGTCTGCTTTGTTTTATTTTTATTTTTAGTACTGGGGAATGAACTCAGGGGTGCTTCACCACTGAGCTACATCCCCAGCCCTTTATATTTATTTATTTTTATTTTGAGAAAGGGTCTCAGTAAGTTGCCTAGGGTCTTTCTAAATTTCTGAGGCTAACCTTGAACTTGTGATCCTCCTGCCTAGGCCTCCCAAATTGCTGGGATTACAGGCATGCACTACTGCACCTGGCTACTCTGTCTCATTTACAGTGTATTTAAATTAATCAATACAGGCATGTCATATACTTTAGAATCATCATTTGAGCCACTCTCCCCCTTTTGTTTCTTTCTTACAGGGGTTTGGAAAACAGAGCCCACAGTGAGCAATTTAATGCCTTTTTTAGGCTGCCCAAAGAGGAGACTTTGAAAGAAGTACATGAATGTTTGTTATGGGTACCATTCAGCCACTTCAATACTCATGGAAAAATGTGCATCTCAGAAAATTATATCTGCTTTGCCAGCCAGGATGGCAATCTATGTAGCGTAATCATTCCTTTACGAGAGGTAACATTAATTTGGTTACATATCAATTTTTAGTTTGTAAAATGGCATGTAATAACAAAAATTAATAGAAACTCAAAATGCAAAACCTTTTAGTAATTTAAAATAATCATTTTCTGTGTTCAGTATTATTCTTCAGGATAAAAGTACTAGCTTTTGAGATATTCTCAATTCCTTTTGGTAACACTTTATAGTTATTACCGAAAGTAAAACTAGAAAAACAAATTAAAAACCACAAATGGGCTTGAACATTCAGATATTTAAAACATGAATATCAAAATTTAGAATGTCACATTTGATGAAATTGCTCAGAAAGAATAGAATTGATGGCTTTTGTGTAAGCCAGAAATAAATTTTCAGTGTTCAGCACTGAATAATTTTCATTATTATTGCCAATCTTAAAGGCAACGCATTACTTAAACCTCTTCTTTGAGAATGAATTAACTTGCACTGAGATTAATTATATTTTATGCAACTAGTCTAGTCTCTCCCTTCCCTTCCCTTTCCTCCCCTCCCCTCCCTTCCCCTCCCCTTCCCTTCCCTTCCCTTCCCTTGCCGCCAGTGATTGAACAAAGTCTCTTTCTTAGTAGATTGTACCATGGACTAAAACTTTTAGCCACAAAAGAGTAAGCCAAACACATTTTATCTGAAGGTGTCACAATAAGGGGAAAATATGAATCTCTTATTTATCTTTTCACTCCCCTCCAGGTCTTAGCAATAGATAAGACAGATGATTCCAGTAAATCTGTCATCATTAGCATCAAAGGAAAAACAGCATTTCGCTTCAGTGAAGTTAAAGACTTTGAGCAACTGGTGGCAAAACTCAGCCTCAAGTGTCGTGCAGCTTCAACTCAGTATATTAGCACAGAGGTAATTAATGTAGCAATTAAATAATTTTGGAAAAAAAGCATTGTGTTTCATATGTTCTTTTCTTTCAGAAGAAATTCATAGTACCTTTACTATTCATACCTATGTTTATTTTTTTTCAAGACTGAATCTAGAAACTCATACTTTTAAAAATATTATTGGATCTTTCTACTGTATTTGCTGTTTTTCATAGAAATACATCTTCTACCTTTACATAATTTGTTTTTAATGTATCTATTAATTTTTTTGTAGTTGTAGACAGAAGTATGCCTTTGTTAATTTTTGTTTATTTTTATGTGGTGCTAAGGATCAAATTCAGTGCCTCACCCATGCCAGACAACTGCTCTGCCATTGAGCTACAGCCCCAACCCTCATAACTTTTTTTTTTTAACAACTCATACTACACTGGAGAATTCAACAAGGCCTTGAAAAATGATCTTTCTCTTATTGCTGCAAAGATCTCAATTTTAAACCAGTCTGAATATCTTTTATATTTTAACTACCACATTTGCCTCATTTACATAATCTAGCCCAAAGCAAAATAGTGACATATCTCTTTACTTGCAAAAACTATTAGAGCAGACAAATATTCATGGCAAAGAGTGGTTAAGAGCCTGATTTTGATGTTTAGTATGTTCATGGAAATGTGAACAGATTGAATTCAGATGAATTTTTTTCAGTTCCCAGAAACGTCATGTTTTAATAATTCGGTAAAGCTTAGCAAATTGTAACTATTTATATTTTAATTAAAGATTCAGAGAAAAAAATTAATATTGGCTTTGCTCGTTATATTTTATTTGGACTGAAATATAGAGCCTTTTCCCACTTTCTGCAGAGTACAAGCTGAAAATAATATCCTAATTTAATTATAATGCAGTATTGATAAGACTAAATTTCCCTTTGAAAAACCACAATGAAAAAAATATAATTTAAGAAATATATATCATCTCAATTGGAGACACAGAAACTGTATGTTGGCTTTCAGGAGGTTTTCTTGCCCACCTTTCTCTCTCACTCTTTTAGTATGTACCCAAAGTATTTCTTAGTTTTATGTGAAAACACAAGTAAAATCTGATCAGTTTGGTAGTTTTTCTCCCTGTGCTCCCACTGCCCAATATTGTCCTTGTCTTATTTCAGGTAGTCTTTGTGTTAGATCCAATGTTCTGCTTATGTTTCCATTTCCTTTAATTTATCTGCCTCCCCAGAACTTAGAGAACTGGAATTTTCCCCTGACAACTCATGTGTCTCTAGTAGCTGAGTATGCTCGGTTGTCAAGAAAGGATTTTGTTTCAAAATGTGTTTACCATCTTTCCAGATATGTCAAAAATATAAGGTTTTCTAGTTTTTTCTTGCCCATTTTTAGAGGTTTTATAAAGATGTGTACAAAATACCAATCAGTACACTGATTTGCTTGGAATTATCTCTTTTTGGGGGAGAGGGGTACCGGGAATTGAACTCAGGGGCACTTGGCCACTGAGCCACATCTCCAGCCCTATTTTGTATTTTATTTAGAGACAGAGTCTTACTGAGTTGCATAGCACCCTGCTTTTTTGCTGAGGCTGGCTTTGAACTCGCGATCCTCCTGCCTCAGCCTCCTGAGCCACTGCCACCATGCCCGCGAAATATATCTTTTTTTAAAATATTTTTTTAGTTGTTGATGAACCTTTATTTCATTTATTTACTTATATGTGGTGCTGAGAATTGAACCCAGTGCCTCACACATGCTAGGCAGGTGCTCTACCACTGAGCCAAAACCCTAGCCTGAAATATATCTTTTAATTGTCCTAATATTCTTTTTTCACTGAAGATTTTTTCATAGCAATGACAAAAAATATTGACTATTTTAATATTGTCTCTATACATCTAGCTTTATCAATAGTATATTTTAAATATTAGTGAAGGAAAGCTTTTTAAAACAAGAACTATTTCTATTTGATTTCTAAATAAAAGAAATTGTAGCTCTATTATTTTAGAGTTACACCCAGTTTACTGAAACAAAAGAATACATTTTATAATTTTAACAAACCTGGTTAAATTTTATAAGAAACATTAGACTTTTAAATCTTAATCTCAAAGAATTTAAATAAAATAAAAATATGAATGTAGGAAGGAAGTTAGAAATTTCTTCCTATGAGTACATCAAAGATGTGGTACAAAGAACAAATGCTCCCAGAAGTAATTGGGATTATGCATAAACTCAGTTCTGTCCAAATTTGAAATAGGTATCAACTAAAATGTTCCATTTTTATGAGTTATGATAAAACCTGGATGCATAAACATGTTTTGTAAAATTCTAATTGAATGTTTAAAAGATATTTTAATCTTTTATTTTTTATGTGAGAGATGGGTACTGGAGATTGAATCCATAGCTTGCACATGCCAAGCAAGCACTTTACCACTAATTGCCCTATCTGGCCTCAAACTTGAAATCCTCTTGCCTCAGCCTCCCAAATAGCCAGAAATACAGGCATGTGTCACCACACTTGATTGATCTCTTACTTTTACTGGCATATATAATTAAGGAATATTATTGGGTAATTTTTCAAAACTATTAGATGAAGCTTGATGCTTTTAAACTGCATTACAAGTGATCGTAGGAACTATGGAATGTGAAGAAAGGTTAGAAAACGCATTTATGTCTTAAAGTGTTTAGATAGGCAAATAAATACCTTCTACAGATTATCCAAGCGTATGCATATGTGTTTATTTTATTACTTACATTAACCAGCATTATCCCAGTTTCTAAGTTTTTAATTAGAAGTAATATGCTCCAGGAACATTCATTCTACTTGATAGAAGAAGGTATTTCCTGATTCTAAAATGAGGAGTTTTTTTGGCTTTTTAAAATTTTAATATTTATTTTTTAGTTTTTTCGGTGGACACAACATCTTTGTTTGTTTGTGGTGCTGAGGATCGAACCCGGGCTGCACGCATGCCAGGCGAGCACGCTACCACTTGAGCCACATCCCCAGCCCTAAAATGAGGAGTTTTAAGTTATAAAAAACCAGTAGGGTTTCCTTATTCTATGTAATCAGATAGGAATAGTAGTTTAACTCACATAACTAATTTTTGTTTTCCTTTATAAGAATAAGGTAATGTGTTTCCTGTAACTATAATATAAATTAGAAATAGATACTGTAGCTGTGGGAAGTAATAGATTTATTTCTAGGGTAGGAAACCAGAAAGATTTTTAGAAATAAAATTAGCATCCCATTTTCAATTATGTATTATAAATGGGAATTTATTTAAGATAAGCTTCTAATATTTGAGAAAAGTGGGGGGGTTGTATATTTTTGTCTTAATTTTTGTTTTTTCAGGTTAACTCTGGATCCAATCATCATTTATTGTGCCAAGTTTATGAGATAGTCTAATTTAAATCTGATATTTTGTAGTAAGCTTACACATAAATATTAATCTGCCCCATCTTTCCTTTACTGTTAGAGGCATATGCTACTTCTAAACTCTGTCATACACCAAAAATCAAACAGGTTTAAGAATACCTGCCATAAAATTAGCAACCTCTGTTACTTTCTTGCTGTGACTCAGTTTTGCTGAGGCAATAAATGTTTGATGAGCGCCAAGTTTATTTCAGTCAGAGTTACAAGAACCTAAATAAACAGATACATAGAATTGGTCTGGATGGATCTGAGGTAAAATCTTCCATTCAGAAGAGCCAGAGCAAAAGAAATAAATGTTTAAAAAAGTAAGCTTTATACCTTAAACAATCTATTAAACCCTTTAAATAATTTTAAGTATGAGGGCTAGGGTGTAGCTCAGTGGTAGAGAGCTTGTCTAGCATGCATTAGGCTCTGGGTTCAATCCCTAGTACCTCAAAGATAATAATATGTCAAGTATGAAGTTGTTTTAAGCCACATCTTTGAAGGTGAATATGTTAATTTGATTTTTGAATACTTAGGAGATAATTATGGGTACAACTAGCATATTTGTCATCACTCTTATAAATTTATGTGTAGGGTTTCATCACTTAAGAGATTATTTGCTTCTCCTTCTTGCACATTTTCCCTGTAGTTTGGATATACTACCAATAGATAATTGGTGCCTCAGTCATATAATGTACCTTGCTTGGGATCTACACTAAAACTATGAATTTGTCAACATGTATTTGCAACATTCAATTCCTCAATAAAACAGCTAATTTTAATCTTAGGAAGTAAAGTTTGTGATGCAGCAAAACAGGTTTTTTTTTAAAGGCAAGTGTTGTAGTTTGTGCCCTATAATGATTAAACACTAATTTTCCATTATTAGCCTCTTCTGCCATACCCTTGTATTCATTCAGACATTGATTTGAATCGGCCTTTCTAACTTTACCTAGATCCTATCTTAATGTCCAACCCTCCTGGGTCTATTACTGACTTTTCTTGGTTTTAAGCTAAAATTCCACTGGACTGTTCTACTGAGCTGCCACTTTTCCTCCACCTCAATCATGGGCAGTCTTTTCATTTTGCTTAAACTACTAAAGTTTGAGTGATGACCTTGGTAAACCTTTTTAAGTACCCCTACTAGGAACTCAAGACTTCTGGTATAGTTAATCCACAGAATTTCAGTAATTTTAAAATTACAACTTTGATGATCAGAAAATTCATCTAGAAATGCAAGGGTCTCAAAAAGGACTCACATGCTTTTCATTTTAAAACTTACTATACAACCCTAGTAAACTGTGATACTGGCAAAAGGATAGACATATAGATCACTGTAATAAAAATTGAAAGTCTAGAAGTTATGATCACTTAATTTTTCACAAGGATGGCAAATCAATTCACAGAGGGAAAGTATATTCATTTATATTCACTTTAAAAAAAAAAAAACAGGGATTGAAACCAGGGGCACTTTACCACTGAGTTACATTCCCAGCCCTTTTTATTTTTCATTTTGAGACATAATCTCATTAAGTTGCTTAGAGCCTTGCTAAGTTGTTTAGGATGACTTCAAACTTGTGATCTTCCTGCCTCAGCCTCCCAAATTGCTAGGATTACAGGCATGTGCCACCACACCCTGCTTAGTGTGTAGTCTTTTCAACAGACAGTGGTGGTACAGTGGATGTCCACATACTACATATTAACTGAAAACACACCAGACCTACATTAAAGAGCTGAAACTATAAAACTTTCCAGGTAAACATAGAGGTAAATCTTTATGCCTGTGAATTAGGCAGTTATTTCCTAATTGACAAGATTATGACAAAAGAAAAATGGGTAAATTTGAATATATAAAAAATAAGGACTTTTGTGCTACAAATGATAGTATCAACACAAAAAAAAAGTTCACAGGATGGGAGAAAATATTTGGACGTTTTATGTCTGATAAGGGACTTCTATACAGAACATATAAACATCTCTTACACTTCAATAGTAAAAGGTAAACAACACACTTTCTAAAAATATGGAAAAGGGATTTCAATAGCTATTTGTTCAAAGAATATAAATGACCAACAAACACATGAAAGGTTTTTCAGTATCATTAGTTATTAGAGCAATGCAAGACAAAACCATAATGGAATAACATTTCATACTCATCAGAGTGAGTATAATTAAAAAGCCAGATAATAACTGTTGAGGAGGATGTGAAGAAATTGAACACTTCATACATTGTTGGGAGTATAAAATGGTACAACCACGTTGGACTACAATTAAGCAGTTCCTCAAAATGTTGAGTGTAGAGTTACCATATGACCCAGAATTTTACTTCTAGATATCTGCCCAAGAGAACTGCAAATAAATGTTCACCCTAATACTTACTTATGGATGTTCTTAGCCAGATTATTCACAATTACCAAAAAAGTGTAAAAAAGCCATCAAATGATGAATAAAGGAATAAAATATGACATACAGTAGAATATCATTTGGCAATACAAATGAAATACTGATACATACTATAATATGAATGAACCTTGAAATAACTTCAAAGAAGTAATACACAAAAGACTACATATTATATTATTCCATTTATATGAAAAGTCCAGAATAGGTAAATTTATACTGACAGATTAGTAGTTATATAGAACCTGGAATGGGGGGAAGGTAATGGGGGAGGGACTGCAAAGGAATAAGGGATTTATTTTAGGGGTGATGATATCATAATAAACTTAAGATTGTGATGATGGTTGCACAACCCTGAATATATTAGAACCATTGACTTTATGCCATAAATGCATCAATTTTATTATATGTTATTTGTATCCCAATTCAGATGCTAAACTAATGAAAAGAGCTTTAAAGAATCTTTGTCAACATATTTAGCTTAAGAAAGGGAAAAACACCTTTAAAAAAAAAAACCTGAAGTTTTGGGCTGGGATTGTGGCTCAGTGGTAGAGTGCTTGCCTAGCATGTGCACATGTGCAAGGCACTGGGTTCGATCCTCAGCACCACATAAAAACAAACAAATAAAGGTATTGTGTCCAACTGCAATTAATGAATATGATATAAGTAGAGAAGTTAAACTTTACTAAGTATGTTGATAAAGGTTCCTGAAAACTTTTCTAAGGAAAAGCATCAAATTAATCCTCTGGAACCCTACTACAGTTAGATGAGACTTTAAAAAAGTGCATTAATGCAAAAAATGGAAAAGCTCTTTTACCTTGTTTTCTTTCATCTTTGTGTAAAGGTATAATTCAAACTTCAGACATTTTACAAATTAACCTTAGCTTTCATTTCTTGCTTTCAAAGATGGCTAGAGTTGAGTAACTGGGATCTTCTCTTATCTAGCTTCTTTCCTTGGGTCACTTGCAGCTCTGCATATGTGTGCATGTTTCTAGATCCCTAAGAATTTGTTGAAACTTTTCAGCATTCCATATGATTATCTGGTTCTCCATGTATTCCTTTTAAATCTTCAGCCAGGCTTTTGTTTGCCCCAACTGAAATCACAGCCTTAAGCAATTATGATGTTACAAGAAGATTGCTGTTGTTTTCTATAATGCCCTAGAAACAGGCTTTTTTTTTTTAACTTAGCAAAGCTGTGAATCAAATGATAACACCTTGCAGGTGGAGATTTTCCAGGGAGCTACTAGTTTGGTTTAAACATTGACCGTGCTATGGGATAGGGATGAGGTTTTTAATGATGATCCTAGAGTTTCACTAGCTGGCATAGTGCCAGTTTTCATGCCTATCATATTTCCAAGTTTGGGAGGGAGAGAAGATAGGAATGGCCTCAAGTTAAAACCCCACAGACTGCTGTTCTTACTGAGACACTTTAGTTTTCTGTTTGTTTTTGTTTATGGTGCTGGGGATCTGTTTGTTTTTGTTTATTGGCTGGGGTTGTGGCTCAGTGGGAGAGCATTTGCCTAACATTTGTGAGGCACTGGGTTCTATTCTCAGCATCACATAAAAAATAAATTAATTAGGCCTGGAGATATAACATAGTTGGTAGAGTGCTTGCCTCATATGCGCAAGGCCCTGGGTTCAGTCCCCAGCACCGCAAATAATAATAATAATAATTATTATTATTATTGATTAATTTAAAAATAAACTTTTTTAAAAATTCAGAGTTTTATGTGTTAGGCAAGAACTCTACTACTGAGCAGTATCCCCATCCCTCATTGGTTTTCTTGAATAGATGCTTTTCAATTCATTCTGTGCCTTTGGTTAATTTCTGGTGTTTTGGGCAGGGAGAGGTTGTTTTGTTTTTGATACTAGGGCTTGAACCCAAGGATGCTTAACTATTAAGCCATTTTTTGTTTTATTTTTAGGCAGGGTCTTGCTAAGTTGCTTAGGGCCTCATTAATTTGCTGAGAGTGGCTTTGAACTTGCAATCTTCCTGCCTCATCCTCTCAAGCTGCTAGGATTTAGGCACAAGCCTCCATGCCCACCTAATTTCTGGTGTTCTGAAATGATTTATTTTTAATGTTTTGCCAGTATTTTGTTGCTTGTTGGGTAATGGTTTCACTGAGATTTTGAGTTTGTTTTTCCTGAAGTCAGTTTGTTGATATTTCTAATTCTGATAGGAAAGTAATGTTTCTCTGAGACATTGCCATAATATTTAATATGTACATAGATTGTGGTTTATAAATGACAGATAAAACCTTCCTTAGCAGTTTTTTCTTTCAGAAACTTTTAAGCATGCATTTGTTACAATTACATTGTTTCTTTGTTTTTCAGGGTGCTATTGGTTCTGACTCTACAGAACCATCTGATAATTTTGAGATGCGATCTTCAACATGTACAAAAGAATGCAGTAAAACTGTGAACACCGAAGCCTTAATGACAGTATTTCACCCTCAAAATTTGGAGACTCTTAATTCTAAAATGGTAGGAAAATAAACTATTTAAATCTATGAACTGGAATCTTAGAGATCAGAATGTACCAGGACTGATAACTCTTCTTTTGGGATTTGGAAAAGTTTACCAGAAAGTACTACTATGTGTGTTGTTTGGTTCCACAACACACAAAGAGTATTGTTAAGATTAAGAAGTACTGGGGGCTGGGGTTGTGACTCAGTGTTGGAGCACTTGCCTAGCATGTGTGAGGCACTGGGTTCAATCCTCAGTACCACATAAAAATTAACAAATAAAATACAGGTATAGTGTCTGTCTGCAACTAAAAAAACTACTTAGAAAAAAAGAATAAGAAGGGCTGGGATTGTAGTTCAGTGGTAGAGTGCTTGCCTAGCATATGTGAGGCACTAGGTTCAATCCTCAACACAACATTAAAAAATAATAAAGGTATTGTGTTTATCTACAAATAAAAATTTGAAAAAAAAAAGAATAAGGATAAGCCAGGTATGGTGGTACATGCCTGTAATACTAGCAATTTGGGAGGGTGAGGCAGGAGGATGGCAAGTTTGAGACCAACCTTGGCAACAGAGCAAGACCCTGTCTCAAAATAAAACATAAAAAGGGCTGGGGATGTAGCTTAGTGGTAAAGTGCCTCTAGGTTAAACCACCACTACCAAAAAAAAATGAAAATAAAAAACAAATTTTTGATATTCAGTTTTATTTGCATATATTTCTAATAATCTATGCTGAAATGTAGTTCATTTGAGAATACTGATGGTTCAGAGCTTTACCTCCTATGCATGATCCCTTTACCATTTTTATTTGAGTTTTAAGAATTATAAAATAGTGAATTAAAGCTGTTTTGCTCACATGAATTTAAGTGATTTTTGTGATGACAAGGTCCAGTATTTGAATTCTATGTGAATACTGATTTTTATTTTGTAGGTTCTTGATATCCATACATATTGTTTCATGATGAAGAGGGTGGGCAGTTTATTTTAAAGAAGTTATTTTCTCACTCTGTTTGATTGCTTTGATTTTTTGATACAGTTGAAAGAAAAGATGAAGGAACAGTCATGGAACATCCTATTTTCAGAATGTGGGCGTGGTGTTAGCATGTTTCGAACCAAGAAGACTCGAGATCTGGTCGTAAGAGGGATTCCAGAGGCTTTAAGAGGAGAGCTCTGGTTGCTTTTCTCAGGTATTTCAGCTATTAACTTTATTCATTTAGCAGAAATTAGGGAATTATGCCCTAAGCTAAAGAATTACAAACATGAATAGGACAAAGTCTTACTCATCAGGAATTCAGGCTAGTCAAAGAGAGAAAGATATGTAGTTATGTGCACTTACCTATATATCCACACATCTAGTACCTGAGCAGAATAGTTTATTAGGCAAGATATGTCCAATTGATGGAAATCTCTATCTCTAGTGTCAAAAGAAAGTTAAATGGGGAAAAAATCTCATAAAAATGTTATTCTCTTGGATAGTGTTAGTTTGACATTTTAGATACCAGTGTAAAGCTTTTTCGTTTTCTTCATTTTCTTTTGTGTATGTCTTTGTGTTCAGATATAACTTAATCATAAAGCTAAATTTCAAGGTAATGAAATAATTTTAAAATATAATTCTTCATATATATGCTAATATGCTACTATATGCAAGCTATATTATATTCCTTTTTTGTGTGTGAATGTAATCATCTATACAGGTGCTGTTAATGACATGGCTACTAATCCTGGCTATTATGCTGAAGTGGTTAAACAGTCTTTAGGGACCTGCAACTTGGCTACTGAAGAAATTGAACGTGACTTGCGTCGTTCCCTGCCTGAGCACCCAGCATTTCAGAGTGACACTGGCATATCTGCTCTGAGACGGGTACTTACTGCCTATGCATATAGGAATCCCAAAATAGGGTACTGCCAGGTATGACCTCACTATGAACCCAACTGTGTGAATGTTTCAAATGATAAAATCACATTTAAATCCAACTCTACCAATTTGGGAATTTTATGGAGTGGAATTGATAGTGAATATTATTAATGTATGTATGATAGTAGTAGGAATATTTAGAATTGATATTTATTAATTTATCTTTTTCACTTAACAAGTATTTTTGAGTCCTTGCTCTATAAAAGATATGGTGCCACATGTGTAAGGCTATTTTAAGATATGCCTGGTAGGAATCTTTCCATTAAAAAAAGAAATATATATGTACACACACATATATATGTACATATTTATTTATATATACTTATATACATATTAAAATAATTTTCATTGGGAAAATGAAAAACAAGTGAGATAAACTACTAAATGATTATAAAGTCTTGTTGAGATTTATAGTAAAAAGAAATTATTTCATCTGGGAGAACCAGAAAAGGTGACATTTGCAGGTCATGAAAATTGGTGAATTGGGACATAAAGAGATAGAATGCAAGAATATTCTAAGTGAAAGGATCAGTGCAACCTAACAGAGGTAAATGGGGAGTGTGTATAGGACAATGTTCTGTTTAATAAAGTGTATGGTTAATGAAGCAAAGTAGTTGAAGAAAAAATAAGGTGGATTGAAGCAGGTCAGTCATTTGGAATTTATTTTATAGGCAGTAGAGGAGTCATTAGGAAAAAATCCTTTAGGAGTACTCTGTGTTCATTAGGCTAGACTGTTAATACAAATAAATAATAATAAATAATAGAAGATTGTTTCTTAAAGGAATAAGCAGAAGAAAGTGAGTATTTAGGTTAATAGACAGTTCTTTGTGAGATTAAGGTACTCTTTCGTTGCCATTACCACAGACAGAGGAGCAGGTAGAGGAGATGAAGAAACTGTGAGAGATTTGACAGAGTAGGCCTGGAAGGTTCTTATACCACTTCACCCACATTCTATTGGAAGATGTTTATCACATGGCCACATCTCTTCACTTCTGTGAGTGAAGTGTCGTGGTACATGCTTGTAATCCCAGTGATTTGGGGGGCTGAGGCAAGAGGATTGCAATATCAAAGACAGATTGGCAACATAGTGAGACCATGTGTCAAAGCAAAAATATAACTCAGTGATGAAGCAACCCTAGATTCAATACCCAGTACTGCAAAAAAAAAAAAATCAAAAGGAATTCTATGACATGTAGTGTGAGCTGAATAGACCTGTGCCCAGCTACTATGGAAGAAGAAAAGATTGAATTATGGGGGATAAGAAGTACTCTGTACCATACATTCATTTATAATAGGTTGAGCACCCATAAAGATTACATATCAATACCATCTATCCATTGAAACTTATTAACTGAGATTTTTTTGGGGGGAGTGGGAGTTACTGGGACTCAAACCCATGGCCTTGCACATGGTAGGCAAGTACTCTACCGCTGAATTACATGCCTAGCCCTAGAGAGTTTTTTTGAAAAACAATTTAAGTACATTTACTGTCTAAATGACAAGTACTTTTTAGCATATTGTTACATCTATGAAAGGTACAAAAGATGCATAATATTTCTTTTCTCAAAAAGCTTGAACTCACAGTTTAGCTATTGTGAATAGTTTAGCTATTGTGAATTGTGCTGCTATAAACATTGATGTGGCTGTTTCCCTGTAGTATGCTGTTTTTAAGTCATTTGGGTATAGACCCAGGAGAGAGATAGCTGTATCAAATGGTGGTTCCATTCCCAATTTTCCAAGAAATCTCCATATTGCTTTCCATATTGGCTGCACCAATTTGCAGTCCCACCAGCAGTATATGAGTGTACCTTTTCCCCCCATATCCTTGTTAACACTTACTGTTATTTGTATTCATAATAGCTGCCATTCTGACTGGAGTGAGATGAAGTCTTAGAGTGGTTTCGATTTACATTTCTCTAATTGCTAATGCTGATGAACATTTTTTCATATATTTGTTGATTGATTGTAAATCATCTTCTGAGAACTGTTTGTTCAGGTCCTTGGCCCATTTATTGATTGGGTTATTTGGTTTTTTTTTTTGGTGTTTAACTTTTTTGAGTTCTTTGTGTACCCTAGTGATTACTGCTCTATCTGATGTGTGAGGGGTAAAGATTTGCTCCCAAGATGTGGGCTCTCTATTCACCTCACAGATTATTTCTTTTGCTGAGAAGAAACTTTTTAGTTTGAGTCCATTCCATTTATTGATTCCTGATTTTAATTTTTGCAACAATGATGAATGGATTAAAAAAATGTGACTATACACAATGGAATATTATTCAGCAATAAAAGAGAATAAAATCATGGAATTTGCAGGTACATGGATGGAGTTAGAGAAGATAATGCTAAGTGAAGTTAACCAATCACAAAAAAACATATGCTGAATGTTTTCTCTGATATAAGAAGGCTGATTCATAGTGGGATAGTGACTATGAGCATGGGAGGAACAGACAAACTCTGGATAGGGCAGAGGGGTGTGAGGGGGAAGGGAGGGGGCTTGGGGCTAGAAATGATGGTGGAATGTGATGGTCATTATTATCCAAAGTACAGGTATGAAGACACAAATTGGTGTGAATATACATTATGTACAACCAGAGATATGAAAAATGTGCTCTATATGTGTGTAATAAGAATTGTAATGCATTCTGCTGTCATATATATTTTTTTAAAAAAAGGAATGCCTAGGGAAACCTCCACAAAAAAAAAATAAAATAAAAGCCTGAACTCATGGGGCTGGGGTTGTAGCTCAGTGGTAGAGTGCTTGCCTCACAAGCACTAGGTTGTGAGGCACTAGGTTCAGTCCTCAGCACCACATAAAAATAAAATAAAGATTCTTTTAAAAAATAGCTTAAACTAAGGTGGGCACAAGCACACACCTGTAATCCCAGCCACTGGGGAGGCTGAGTCAGGAGGATGACAAGTTCAGAGCCAGCCTCAGCAATTTAGCTAGGCCCTAAGCAACTTAGCAAGTTCTCTAAATAAAACATAAACAGGCTGAGAATGTGCAGCAGTTAAGCACCCCTCAATTTAATCCCTGATACCAAAAAAACAAAAAAGCTAGCCTGGGGTTGTAGCTCAGTGGTAGAGCTATTGCCTCTCATGGGTGAGGCCCTGGGTTTGATCCTTAGCACCAAATAAACAAATAAGTAAATAAATAGAAAGATATTGTGCCCATCTACAACTAAAAATGTTTTAAAAAAAGCTTACACTCACAAAGCTTGTGATGTTATCTCTATGAAGTAGTTTAGAGATGGTTTCAAAATAGGCAGCATTAGATTTTGATTTCTAAAAGATGAGAGCAAATTTAAACAGAGCAAGAAGAAAGTTACTCTGGGTTAAGGTAACCATATGAACAGTACCATTCAGATGAGAATTGAGCCTACCTTAGAGATCAGACTGGCTAAGTTCATGTATCAAGTAGTAAATAAGTTTGTATGTGGAGCTGGGGTTGTGGCTCAGTGATAGAGTGCTTGCTTAGCATGTGTGATGCACTGGATTAGATCCTTAGCACTGCATATAAATAAATAAATAATAAAGGTCCATCAACTAAGAAATATTTTTTTAAAAGTTTATAGCGGACAAGATCATGGAGAATCTTTGTCTGAGAATATAGAGTTTTGAATTTAATATGGTAAACAAGTTATATTGCTGTTGGTCAAAAACCCATGTAAGCTATACAGATATGTTAATGCTTAGCTGGCTTGCATATCTATCTCTATCTGTGTTGGGATATGCCACACACTAACTTCACCTTTTCATGCTTTATAGTATATTCAAAAAGTCATACAACTGTCACCAAAAACATTTTCATCCTCCAAAAAGTAACCCTGTATTCATTACTAGTTACTTGCCATTTCTTACTTTCTCTGGTCCATGCAATCATTACTCTACTTTCTGTCTCTGTGAAGATGCCCAGTATAGATATCTTATCTATCTGAAATGATAGTGTGTGTGGTCTTTTATGTCTACCTTCTTTTATTTAGTATATGGTATCTCTACTTCATTCTTGTTATGACTAAATAACTTTCTATTGTATGGATATACCACGTTTTGTATATCTCTTGAACAGATAGTGACCATTTGGATCATTCCCATATTTTGACTGTAAAGAACAGTGCAGTTATTAATATTCATATAAAAGTTTTTGTGTGGACATTTTTTTATTCCTTTGGGTATATTTCTTGAAGTGAAATTGCTAGGTTATTTGGTGACAAAAAGTTTAACTTATTAGGGCACTACCAAAATATTTTCCAAAGAGACTTTACCATTTCACATTCCTACCAGGAATGTACAAGGGGTTCCAATTTCTTCACATACTTAACTACACTTACTATTTCTCTTTTTTGATTTCTGCCAACCAGTTGATTGTGAAGTGGTATCTTCATACCCTTGATAAAAGTCAATTGACAATAGATGTTTGGGCTCTTTATGGAATGTTGATTCTGTTCCCTTCATTTATATTTTATCCCTATGCCAGTATCACACTGACTTGATTACTGTGTCTGTGTGAGTTCTGAAATCAGGAAGTATTAGCCCCTTTAATTTTGTTCTTTTCCAGAATTTTTTTGGTGCTTTTATTTTTATTTATTTATTTTTAAGTTTTGGCTCTTTTACATCCCTCATATGTCTATGAATTTTAATATCCCTTGACAATTTCTTCAAGGAAAAAAGCCAGATAACTGTTGCATTGATTGAACCTGTAGATCATCTTGGGGAGTATTGAGTATTAACAATATTAAAAGGATATTTTCCAAGTATTTTAATCTTTTTTAATATAATAGTAAATGGAATTATTTTCTTGGTTTCATTTTTGGGTTATTTGTTGCCAGTATAAAGAAATACAGTTAATTTTATGTATATTGATTTTATATCCTATAACCTTGCCAAGATTATTTATTGTTCTAGTAAAAGTTTTGTGGATTCTTTAGGAATTTCTATATACAAAATTATGGAGTCTGAATAGTAGTACTTTACTTCTTCCATCCCAATCTGAATGCCTTTTTTGCTTTTTTCTTGTGTCACTGACCTGGCTAAAATCTTCAATACAATGTAAAATGGAAGTATTGATGTTGTTTTGTTGTTGTTGTTGTTTTGAAATGGAGTCTTCTTATGTTGCCCAAGTTGGTCTCAAACTCCTGGACTTAAGGATCCTCTGACCTCAGTATCCCGAATAGATGTAACTACAGGTGCATGCCACTATACCTGGATTAATAGAACTGTTAAGAATGTGTATCCCTAGGTTATTATTTATCTTGGAAGCAATCAGTCTCTCATCATAAAATATAATGTTAGTTATGAAGATTTTGTAGATTTTTGGTTTTGATACTGTGGCTTGAACCCAGGGGCATTTTACCACTGAGGTATAATCCAGTCCTTTTAATTTTTTTTTTTTTTTTTTTTAGTTTTGAAAAAGGGTCTCACTAAGTTGCTTAGAGCCTCACTAAACTGCCCAGGCTGGTCATGAACTTGTGATCCTCGTGCCTCAGCCTGAACTCTCTAGAATTACAGGAATGCACCACTACACTCAGCTGAATTTTTGTAGATTACCAAGTTGAAAAGATTCTTATATCCTCCTATTTTATTAATTTTTTATCATGAAAGAATGTTGGAATTTGTCAGATTATTTTTTTCTATGTCCATTGAGATAATCATGTGATTTTTCCCTTTCTTTTACTAAAATGGTATATTTCATTGATTGATTTTCATATGCTAAACCACTCTTACAGTCCCAGAATAAATCTTGGTATTGGTGTGTAATCTTTTTTGGTTACATGTTATTGAATTTGGCTTTCTACTATTTTGTTCAGGATTTTTACATTTGTATTTTGTAAAATACATTGATATATAGTTGTGATGTTTTTGTTAAATTTTGGTATCTGTATTCTTTAGAATGAGTTGGGTAATGTTTCCTCCTCATTTGTTTTGAAGAGTTTATGAAGGACTGGTGTTAATTCTTCTTTAAATGTTGAGTCGAATATGCCAGTAAAGCCATCTGTTCTTAGAGGTTTCTTTCTGGGAAGTGTTTTTATTATTAATTCAATCTGTTTACTTATTATAGATCTGTTTAATTATTTCTTTCTTCTTGAACTGGTATCAGTAGTTTGTGTTTTTAGAAACTTATCCATTTTATCTCAGTTATCTAATTTGTTAGCATATTTGGGACATCATTTTCCCTTATTTATATTCCTTTATATTTCTGTATGGTTAATAATTATATTCTCTATTTCCTGGTTGTAATAATTTGAGTCTACTCTCCTTGTTTTTTAATGTTTTAGATTAGGCTCCTTAAAGATAAACTTAAGTCTTTTTGTCTTTTTAAAAAATCTTTTCAATAAATCAACTTTTGGTTTAATTTTTTTCTCTATTTTTTTCTGATTTATATCACTTTCTGCTTGCACTGAGCCTCAACTTTAGCCAGAGGTAAGATTAGGCTTTTCTGTTCTTTCCTAAGCTACCTACAGCTATAAATGTGCAGAAAACCAGGCATATATATGTCCTTCTACTTTCCCAATAATATGTCAGATTTTCAAAGTCCCCAGATCTTTCTTAACCCTCTGTTAGCCTGTTGTTTGGCTCAACTGTAATCTATTCTCTGAGACACACATATTAACAGCTCTGATGGTTTTCAATAAAAACCCTTGGGGAAAAGGCTTTTTGTACTACAGGAGCCCTGTGTCAGGTCAAATAAAGATAGACTTGTGAGTAGAATCTTGCAGGAGACTACCAGACAGATTAAAAATGATAATTCTCTGGTAGTGGGGCTTTAAAGTAGCTCCAATCTTACCCTGTTTCCCTGGTGGCAGCTGGGTACTGGTTTTCACTTTGATTGCTGGGTGGTGATGTTTTTGTTTTTGTTGTTATTATTTTGGCATTTCTTATTTTTATTTGTTTTTTACAGTGCTGGGTATCAAACCCAGGGCCTCATGTTAGGAAAGCACTCTATCACAGAGCTATATTCCCATCCTTAGGTGTTGGTTTTTATCCTAAAGCTGAAGAGACAAAATGAGAATAGAACTGTTGCAGCATCAGACTTGCTTGCCAGATCCTCCACCAAGTTGAGGCTCAGAAATGTAGCTACATGCAGGATTTTAAAGACTGCCAGTTCTTTGTGATCTTGCAGGAACTATCTCAAGGGGTCATACAGAATAATAGGCATGCATTTATTTGGAAAAGTTAAATAAGAGAGATGAGCATGCAGTACAAGTTGCAGAATAGACCTTCGCCAGAGAGAACAGTGTAGTTTCTACAGGACCTAGGTTTTTAAACCAGATGAATTTGGAAACCCTCCCCTTCTGAAATTGGAAGAAGTAGATGTTGACCCCAGGAAGTCATAAGGAAGGCTCCAAGGACTGGAAAAGAGCCTAAACCGGAGAAATCCTTTCTGAGTCTTGGAATCTTTGGTTGGTATAAAGGTCACAAAAGTTTCCCCTGAGTGGCCTCAAGTATATTGTTTTTTAAAAGAAAGCACATGATGGGGGTCAGCAAAGTAAACCCAGTGTGTACAATTATCCTCTTAACCTCATATACCTGCCATTAGTGTCTGTTATCTATCAGGATTATTGCCACAGAGCTCACTGTTTTTACTGAGACTCAGGCATTTTCTTCAATAGATGTTACCTGCCAGTGTTCTTATTGCTTTTATAGAAGAAACATTTTTGGAAGTCCTATGGTACCATTTTCACTCTGTTCCCTCCCTTATGGCTTCTTACACAACAAAGTGAAGAAGTAGAAATGGCTTGAGATCAAATATTGTCAAGGAATTGACATAGTTAGTATACAAATCTATTCAAAAGGTATCAAAATATTAAAAAAATGAGCAATGGACAGGAAGGAGGAAATGCAGATTGATAATGAACCTGAAAAAGCAAGTCCAACCTTATAGAATTGAAATTAGAACAATGAGATACCATCTGCAGTATCAACTTAATAAGGGTAATTATTACAATTCTCAATATTAGCAAACATGCAGTGAAATAAACATTCAAACACTATTGGCTAGGAATGTAAATTGGCACAATCTTTCTAGAATATAATTTGGCAATAATATTAAGTCTTTAATAAATAATACCCTTTGGCAAAACAATTTCATTTCTAGATAACTAATCCTGAGAAAATAGTAAAACACTTGAATGAAGAGTGATATACAAAGATATCCATTGCAGCATAATAAACATACAGGGTTTCTACCATAATCAAGATTAGGATAACTAAGAAGAGATTCCTATTTGATAGGGGAAATAAGATGTTTAGTTTTGGACATAGTGAAGGATGATTGACATCTATATTCTTCTACAGATAGTTGGAAATAGAGATGAAGTTTATTTTCCCTAATTTTAGTATGTTCTTGAAAATTATATGAATATTTTTCAGATTTATGATAATGTTTTTTTTTACCCATTGAAATTACTCTTAAGTTTTACTACTGTGTTTTATATCTGTGGTATTACTTCTTCGTATTCTTTGAATGTTACTGTATAAAATAGCTAATTAGACTTAAACTTTGTTTTGTTTTGTACTAGTTCATAGTTCTCATGTTTCCATTATTATACTCTCACTTGTTCTCATTACTATTAAACACTACTAAGTTTGAAGAAGAAATGCAATCGTTATCTGAGTAATATTTATTTTTTGTATCTTTTCTATGAACTTTAGGCAATGAACATTTTAACTTCGGTGTTGCTTCTATATGCAAAAGAAGAAGAAGCTTTTTGGCTTCTGGTTGCTGTATGTGAACGAATGTTACCTGATTATTTTAATCGTCGAATCATTGGTAAACACACACAGACACTATCTTAGTCTGTTTTCTCTTGACATAACCAAATGCCACATACTGTGTAATTTATAAGTGATAGAGGTTTATTTAGTCCATGGTTCTAGAGGCTAGGAATTCCAAGAATATATGCCAGCATCATCTCAACATCTGGTGAGGGCCTTCTTGCTCCATCATAATGTGGTGGAGTGCATCACATGGTAAGATAGAGCAAGCATGCCAGAGACAACTTGCTTTTATAACAAAGCCACTCCCTTGATAACCTATTAATCTATTAATTCACAGATGGATTAATTCATTCATTAGGGAAGAGCCCTCATGACCCACTCACCAAAGATCCCACCTCCATATACCACTAATATATGAATTTTGTGGTTTCCAACACATTAAATTTGGGGAATCTATTCAAACCATAAAAAACACATATTTCTTTTCTGAGCCCTTTGAGTGTCTCTTATCTACTCAGTTGCCAGTCAAGTAAAAGAATTGATTAACTACATTGCAAAATATATAAAATGTCAAAATGTCACATTCACTGACTTGCTTATAAAAGAGAACAGCTTTTGTGTACAGTTAGGAGCTCTGGTGGCACAATTGGTTACTGCGTGATATTTATACAGAATGCATCAGGTCTGTTTCTTAATAAAATGAATACTTTAAACTTATAATCATTTAATGAAAAAATAAGGACACTCTGAAATATCCAGAGATGCAGAGGAAATTTTAATAGTTTCTTGATGGGAAGGGAATTTTTATCAGCTTAAAATTGCCATATTTATATTAATTATTTAGGTATTTACAAGGTTTGAAAGAAAGATCAAGATCTTGCTTTGATAACTATATAATATTTTCTTAAAACATCAAGTATTTATAGATCTCTTATCCCCTGTCTTAAAACTTATAAGCTTTAATTAATATGGCTAGGTCGTTGATTGTATTGCCTTTGTTAGAGTGACTTGTACATTTATCTTGAGTTCTACTAGATATTAAACTTCTTGAAGATGAGACCATTTTGTTAATTGTACAGGTCTAGGATATAATGAGGAGTCAAATAACTCTTCAAATGAATTTGGACTGCATTTCTCAAGTGCTTTTAGGTATATGATAACTCTACTAGAAGATGCAGAAATATATTAAATATAGAAACAGCACTAAAAGAGTTCATAATTTAAGCATGAGAGGAGATATATCAGCAAGTTAATAGAAGTGGGAAGGTATCAGAAAAAATCCTTTTGAAGATGTTCATTTTTAAACTTATTTTGAATTCTCCAGGTGCCTTGGTGGATCAGGCAGTCTTTGAAGAACTTATCAGGGATCATCTTCCTCAACTCACAGAACACATGACTGATATGACATTCTTTTCCTCAGTTTCTCTCTCATGGTTCCTCACACTTTTTATTAGTGTGCTACCTATTGAAAGTGCAGTGAATGTGGTGGACTGTTTCTTCTATGATGGAATAAAGGCCATTCTACAATTGGGATTGGCAATACTTGATTATAATTTAGACAAGCTACTGGCATGTAAAGATGATGCTGAAGCTGTGACAGCTTTAAACAGGTATTGTAGAAACTATAACATTTAAATCTGAAGGGAATCTGAGAGACTGTGGTGTTCAATCCCCTCATTTCACCAATGAGGTTAACTGAGCTCTAGAAACTTCAAACAATTTTCCTAAAGTCACAGAGCAGTTGAATGAAAAAGCTAGACAAAAGTCTAGTCCATTGTTTTTCAATAGAATTAACAAAAGAAAATCACTTGGAAATGAACAATTAGGTTATTTATGCTAATACTGTTGATTCAGTATGCTAGGACTTTCGTAATCCCAGTTTGAGCTAAAAAGTGTTTCTGTGTAAAAGTAATTTGACAGGGAAAGTGATAGTTGATAATGCTAAATATCCAGTGTAGGAAGTTATCCTGGTTTCCATGTAGTTTCAGTCAGGTAGGTTGCATTTTATTTTCCTGGTGGTTTTTGTATGAATGTTTATTTTATATTGGAGACTCTGTGTGTGTGTGTGTGTTATGTGTGTATGTACACATTTGTTTACATTAAATTAACATTTGAATTGGCAACTGTTGTAATGCTTCATCAAATCCCTTCCTTCAGAACTCTGTGATGAGGCCTCAATATACCTTTCTTTACTTATTTCCCCTTACTTATCTTTACAGACTCTGTTTCCATTCTTGCTGGGCTGTTTAGTATTTGCTGAGTGCACACTGAGCCTATTTGCTTCCTTCATGTTCTCTTCCCCAACCAAAAATGATATTAACTCTATTTCCCCCACCCACGTCTTCCTATCATTTTCAAATTCCACTTCTTCATAAGGCTTTCCCTTGTATTGTTAGTAGAAATTATCCTCTGACTAAATACAGAAATATTAGTTTTTGTTTTCTTAGCTTTAACAATTTTAGTTCCGCTAATTCTATTACTATCATTTTTGAATAGGTTCTTTGACAATGTCACTAATAAGGACAGCCCATTACCTTCAAATGTTCAGCAGGGTTCAAATGTGAGTGATGAACAAAGTCATATTAGAGTGGATATTACAGATTTGATAAGAGAGTCCAATGAGGTAAGTTTTTATACTATGAATATGATTACATAGCATATTTTAAACGATAACTGTAGTTATATCTCTAGTGGTATATTCAGAATAAAATAATAATGCAAGTAAAGATACAATTTAAAAGCTACCTTCACTTTTGAATTCTGTGGACAGGTCCTAGGTTGCATGACCTCTTCTTTCTCAATTCACCTTTCATTAAATGAAACTATATTCACGTGCTTTTACAAATGGTGACTTTTAAGTATGTATCACTATAAAAAGATAAAAATTAGTTTGTCCTTAGACTAAGCATTTTATCAATGTTCTTATACTTGGTCTAGACACAGAGTAGATGTGATTCTTTTCAGTATGTGTGTGTATACACACACACACACACACACACACACATACACACACTGAAAAGTGGGAGGTGAAAATTTGCAGAATCACTGAACAAATCAGGAAAATAACTAGGAAAAGAATCAAGGCCTCTGAGAATTGAATCTGATAAAATTAAAAGAGGAGAAGTGGATATTTATTATGAATGAGTATCCAATGAAATCATTTCTTGCAGAAATATGGTAATATTCGCTATGAAGATATACACAGCATGCGCTGTCGAAATAGGTTATATGTGATACAGACCCTAGAGGAAACAACAAAGCAGAATGTGGTGAGTATCTAACCAATGGGGGAAAACCAGTTAGAGTAACTTTTTTTCCTTCAACTTCCTTTAAACATTATCATTGCATGTGAACTAAACAAAAAGACCTAAATTTTTGAACTAGGTTCTTGCCAAGGTTTTGCTTATTGAAAAAAAAATAAGAAAAAATAATTTATTTTCTTCTGGCTGAATTATATTGCTTTCTCCAACATTTTTTATGTTATTTGACCTTAAACACCACTGCAGTGCAGTACTAAATGCTATGATGTAGGCATTTAAGCATAAAATAATTGTGATGTACTGTATCAGGAAGAACAGCTGATCTGTATAATAGTCAGTGCTCCAATACTGTTTTCCTTGCATATCTAAGGTAAATTGAATAGGATACAAAACAGTTTTAAGTATTCACCTTTTTAACATTTGGATGACTTTATAAGAAGCTGTTAATATTGATTTCCTCATGTCAATGAGATAAAGAGATTATTTCAGAAGGGGGAGAATTTTATCTTGCTGTTTATATTGTGTACTATTTGATATTTTATCATGAGTGTGTATTGTTTTGTACATCTACTTGCTTAAAGACTGGGTCCTCAGAGAAACAACTCTAGGAAGTTTAACATTTCTGAATATTCCACATTTAGATTTCAGTTAAATAATTCAGTGATGTTACCAAAGCATAGTTAGCAGAGGCCCCTTGTTTCTGTTACATATTTTCTAAAATTTACTAAAGTTATAATGTTTATTATAAATAATTCAATCATTACAAAAATGTAAGGAGTAAAGCTTTCCACCCTAGGAGTAACCATCTTAAAATGATTTGATATATATCCTTCCTTTTTCTATATATCTGGACACCTAAGTGTGTATGTTAATGGGAAGGGAACACACAGCTTTTTATTTTGTTTTGTTTGTTTGTTTTGCTTTATTTTTTTTTTTTTTTTTTTTTTTGGTACTGGAGACTGGACCAAGGGCTTCACTAAGTTACACCCATAGCCCTTCTTGTTTTTTTTTATTTTGAGACAAGGTCTAAGTTATTTAGGGACCTGTTAAGTTGCTGATGCTGGTCTTGAATTTACAATCCTCCTGGTCTCAGCCTCCCATTCTGCTGGAATTACAGGCATATACAACTACATATAGCTTTTTTAAATAAGATCATACTGCTTTGTCCTATAGCCTTTTTCATTCAAAAATATATCATGTTGCTGGTGGGACTGTGAATTGGTGCAACCACTCTGGAAAGCAGTATGGAGATTCCTTAGAAAACTTGGAATGAACCAATCCAGCTATCACACTCCTTGTTCTATATCAAAGGACTTAAAATCAGCATACTATATTAACACAACCACATCAGTGTTCATAGCAGCTTAATTCAAAATAGCTAAACTGTGGAAGCAACCTAGATGCCCTTCAATAGATGAATGGATAAAGAAAATTTTGTATATATACACAATGGAATATTCAGCATTAGAAGATCATAAAATTATGGCGTTTGCAGGTAAATAGATGGAGTTGGAGAATATCATGCTAAATGAAGTAAGCCAATCCCAAAAACCCAAAGGCTGAATATTCTCTCTGATAAGTGGATGCTGATCCATAATGGGGAGGCGGGCATGGAAAAAATGGAGGAACTTTGATGGGGCAAAGGGGAGGGAGGGGTAGTGAGGGGACATGGGGGTAGGAAAGATGGTGGAATGAGATGGACATCATTACCATAGGGACATGTACAACTGCACATATGATGTGACACTACATCATGTACAACCAGAGAAATGAAAAGTTGTGCTTCAATTGTGTACAATGAATCAAAATGCATTCTGCTACCATATATACATAATTAAAATAAATTTGTTAATTAATAAAAATATATCATTGGCCAGGCACTGTGTTGCATGTCTATAATCCCAGCAACTCAGGAGGCTGAGGCAAAAAGATTGCAAGTTCTAGGCCAGCTTTAGCAGTTGAGTGAGGCTAATAAGCAACTTAGACCCTGTCTCAAAAAAAAAAAAAAAAAGTGCTGGGGATGTGGCTTAGTGGTTAAGCCACTAAGAATGCCTGGGTTCAATCCCAAGAATCCTCCCCAAAAAATTGTGTTTGTGTGTGTGTGTGTATATATAGTCATTACATTTAAGTACATTGAGATCCTACTCTCTTCTTAATGTATCAAATAGTATATCATAGTTTAGATATGCTGTGATTTATTTAACTGTTCACTGTCAGTGTGCATTTAATATGTCTCAATTTTTGTTTGCACTTATAGATATAAATTACATAATCATCTGTGTGTGTGTGTGTGTGTGTGTGTGTGTGTGTTTATAAGAGTATTAGCTGGGTAAAAGGGCACAACCGTCTAAAATTTGATAGGTCTTGCCAAATTATCTGCCAAAAGATTTACACCAAATTCAAAACCCACCAAAAGGATATACAAATGCATCCTTTTCCACACACTAACAACTAAGATCTTCAACCATTTTTCTGTGAGATTATTTTATCTTTTTCGTAGTGATTTGTAAGAGCTCTTTGAATATTAGGGATATTAATTCTTTGTCAGTTATGTTTAGGGCCTAATTCTGCCCCCGAGTCTTGGTTTGTTTTCATTATCTTTATGGTATCTTTCAGAGTAAATATGTTACAATTTATTATGCTGTCAAGTCCTTTCCCTTTTTACTTACATAGTACTTGGGTTTCGTGTCAAACTTAGTAAGGCTTTCCCTATTTAAAATTATACAAAATATAAAAAATACATAGCTTATATTACTGGTATTGCTTTTTTAATGTTTAGATCTTTAATATACCTAGAGTATATTTTTGTGTTTATAGTGTGGGTTAGGGCTCTAATGTTATTCTTTCAGCTGATATCACCCAGTGTCTTATATAACCACTTATTAAATAGTCTATATTTACTGTACTCTACTTTTCCATATTCTAAATGCTTATATATGTGTATGGGCATATTTCTGGACTTTTGTTGTTGTAGTCACTTCAATAATACCACAATGTTTTAACTATTGTGGCTTATTTTCATTCTGTAATCTATTTAAACTTTTAAAATTCCTTTTTAATATTCATCTTAATTATCTGTCTTTTTAAATGTCCTTTAGTAAGCACATATGGTCTTCATTATGTAGGTCATTACACATTTCTCGTTAGATTTATTACTTCTATGTATTTTATGATTTTATCATTAAAAGAATTGAGTTTTTTCCTTTACACTTTTATTTATTTATTTTTAATTAATTTTTATTAGTTGTCAATGGACCTTTATTTATTTTTATTTATTTATATGCAGTGCTAAGAATCCAACCCAGTGCCTCACATGTTAGACAAGCACTCTAACAATGAGCCATAACCCCATCCCCTTCCTTTACATTTTCTAATCGTGTATTTCTGTGTATGTAAAATCTATTGATTTGGACATGTTGGTTTTCTGAGTGGTCAAGTTACTGACTCATTAATTATAATAGTTTTCACTTGGCTTTCTCAAATTTTCTGAATAGACAGGCATATTATCTCTAGTCTTAGAATTTTGACACTTTCTAATATTTATACCTCTTTTCTTTGTTGTGTGTTATTACATGGGGCAGGCTCTTCAGCAGATTATTAAATAATAGCTATAGAAGTAGTTTTCCTTGTCTTATTCCTGAGTTTAATAGGAATATCTCCAATATTTTCTTGCTATTGACTTCAAAAGTATGCCCTTTATCAAATTAAGGAAGTTTTATTCAGTTTCTAGGTTAGCAGGTTAGGTACTTCTTTTAAAATTAAGATCAAGTATTAACATTGATCAAATTTTTTTCAAATATTGAGGTTAGTTTTTTTTTAACTTTATTAATGTAAATTTTATTAAAGAATTTCTGATCAATATTAGACTTCCATTGCATTCTTGAAATAAATCCTATTTGGTCATAATATATTATTCTTTAATAGTCTGCTTTGAAAGTTCTACCAAATAATTTAGCTAGATTCTTTGCATCTATGTTATAGAGATGTTGTTTTAAACTTTTCTTTGTGTGTGTGTGATAACTTTAGTTTTCATATTAGTTGTGCTTATATCATAGAATGAATTTTGTAATAAGCTCATATTTTCCTATGCTCTGAAATATTTTAGATCACATAGAGATTATCCTGTATCTGAAGGTTTGAGAAAACAACCTGTAAAACCATCTGAGAGAGGTCTAATATCTAGATTATATAAAGAACTCAGAAAATCCATAAATAACCCATTTAATAAATGGAAAATGAACTAAATGAAAACTTCTCAAAAGACATAGTAACAGCCAACAAGTATATGAAAAAAATGTTCAACATTTTTAGCCAACATGGTCAAAACTACACTGAGATTTCATTTCACTCCAGCTAGAATGGCAGTCGTCAAGAATACAAGTAACAGTACATGCTGTTAAGGATGCAGGATTTTGAAAAGGAACTCTTATATACTATTGGTGGGAATGTAAATTAGTATAGCCCCTATGGAAATCAGTATTTAGATTCCTCAGAAGACTAGGAATAGAATGACAATATGATCTAGCTGTACCATTCCTCGATATTATACAAGAGAATTAAAATCAGTGTATTCTACAGATACATGCATACCCATGTTTATAGCAGCTCAATTCACAATAGCCAAGTTATAAAATCAGCCTAGGAAACTACCATCAGCAAATGAATGGATAATGAAAATGTGGTATATATACACAAATGAGTTTTGTTCAGACATAAAGAAGAAGGAAATTATATCATTTGCAGAAAAATGGATGGAACTGGAGGACACCATGCTAAGCAAAATAAGCCAGACTCAGAAAATCAAGGGTTGTATGTTTCTCTCATATGTGGAAGGTAGAGAGAAAAGGCGGGGAAAGGGAATCTTAGGAAAACAGATGAAACAAAAATGTTGAAACAGAACATTTTTTTAAAAAAAAGCATCTGAGTCTGATGCCTTTGCATGGGTGGCAATTCCTGGATAACCTTTCCAGTTTTGTTTATTCATATTTTCTTTCACCTATAAGTTATTTTGGTCATTTATATTTTCCTAGGGAATTATCTATATTGAAAGATCTATTTTATCTATTTTCAAATGTATTGATGTAAAGGTTATGGAATTTATTCAACAGATATTGACAGCTACCTTCTGTGTACTGGGTACTTTTAATGACCTCCATATCCATGCTTATAATATCCTTTTCTTGTCAATGATGTTTATTTGTAATTTATTTTTCATACTTCCAAGAGATTAAGTTCTATTATATTAATTAAAGCTTTTACCTTTCCTTTGCTTTTACATTGCTTAAATTCTATAATGTTTGTACTATTAGTGCTTATTATTTATGGAGTAGAACAAAATTTTCTATTTTCTAAGCTTATTATTTGTTGGATTATACTTTTTGGCAAAGTAGGAATACATATCTCCTGATACCTTTGAAGTGTTAAAATGACAGTCTAGCTTGATGACTTAAAATATTGCTTATGTAACAAGAAAGGAATATATGGAATGAGACTTAGAATACTGTTGCTTGTATTTATAGATATTAAGTGGCTATCCTTTGGCATTGATTTCTGGGTATAAAGCGATAACTATCAAAGTAGTAGTATCAGAATAGAATTGAACTGTAGTTCAAAAGTGTTAAATAAGTGCATTTACCTTTATTTCTCTAGAAAAGGAAAAGATTTTCTTCTGGCATAGTGAAACTCTTAAGTGGATTCAAAGAGAATTTCTATATTGAAGTGTTAAATTCTAAATTCTAAAGTGCTTTTAATTTTTTTAAAGTTGCGTGTTGTATCACAAGATGTGAAATTGAAACTTCACGAATTGGATGAACTTTATGTCATCTTTAAGGTACTGTTCTTCTTTAAATGAAATAGCAGTTCCCTTTTAGCAGAATTTTATCAGAACTAAAATATTTTTATCTTTTTTATCAAACATCTTTAAAGGAAAAAAAAATCTTCTGCAATGACTTTGTTTGTTTGTTTTTAATAGAAGGAGCTGTTTTTATCTTGTTACTGGTGTTTGAGTTGTCCAGGATTGAAGCACCATGACCCCAGCCTGTCATATTTGGAACAGTATCAGATTGACTGCCAGCAGTTCAGAGTGTTGTATCACTTGTTGAGTCCGTGGGCTCATTCTGCAAATAGAGACTCACTAGCTTTGTGGACATTCCGATTGTTGGATGAAAACTCTGATTGCCTTATAAACTTCAAAGAATTCTCCTCTGTAATTGGTAGGCTGATATCTAATAACTGTGTAGCACAAAATAAATGCACCCTCAAAAATATTTACTAATGCCTACTATTGACAGTTTAGTTAGATTATATAACCCAGAGTTACATTATCTCCAGCTTTAGTAAATACTAGGCCATTTTTTTCGTTTGTTGATAAACCTAAGTGTATCGATCTCATTTTTCCCCAACCACATTAGGAAGGCAAGCTGTTAGATGTGGATGTTTTAATGTTTAAGGTGGAGGAAGAGACTGTCCCAATTTTCCCATACTCAAGTGCATAGATGCTACAGATGCACTTTTCCTTTTAGTAAAAAATCCAATCACATAGTCAAGAAAAGTGGTGGAGAAATACCCAACATATATGTCATATGTGTAGATAGTGTATGTGTATATGTGTTGTGACTGTAAATATTGTCCCTTTGCTTTTTCAGACTCTCCAGCAGTAGTTTCTTATCACAAATTGCCCCTTGAGGAGCAATTCTTTCCTCAAATGAAGCATAAGGCCTTGTTCAAAAAAAAAAAAAAAAAGGAAATCTTAGGTTGGGGGAAAGGAGGAGATAGTCAGGAGAGCATTTTATTTCCCTGATAGAATATTTTGCTTGTTCACTTGAAGGAGAGAATCTGTCTGACTGGGTGGTTGTTTAATTCTTATTGAAATAACAGAAGGTTTTTGAATCCTAATTCCTGCCTAGTGTCTATCTTAATGAATCTATTTTGCTGTAATTAATTGAATCATCTTTGGATTACATGATTATTTCCAATTGGATTTTGTTAAACAGACATAATGTACAATGGAAGTTTTACCGAGAAGCTTAAACTGCTTTTTAAGCTGCATATTCCTCCAGGTAAGAATTTAATAGTCTTTAATGATGTACAGCAGGAGTTTGTTTCATTTTAAATAGCATAACTACAGATATCATTCCATTTAACAATAACATAATTTTCAGTGTGATACAGGGTCATTGCTTCATTGTGACCCTTGAATCACATTACCAACTACTTCTGCTGATGTATGTAGATACAGCAAAATGTATAGAAGAAATTGTGTGTATCTGGTGTGTCCAGAAGTTTCCTTTCTATTAATGTTCTACCAGTTTAATGAGATTTTATGTACCGGAATTACATTTCATTTGAATATTGGTATAATGTTGAATTGTTGTTGTTGTTATTGTCATTAGAATAGAGATTTGATTTGGACAAACTGCCAAGCTTGCATAATACTGCAAATTATTCAGAACAATTAGACAAGGTAGCAGAGATATTAAATATTTGGAAAAGGAAGTAAAATAATAGCTGCCATTGATCAAGCACTTGCTCTGTCAGGACATTCACTTTGCATGCATTTGTTTACTTAAGCCTCTCAATATCCCTGAAAAGTGATATTATTCTTTCAATTTTGATCATAAGGTAACTCAGGGTGGAGATGATTAGATTATTTGCTAAGGGTCACATAGCTGGGATTCAAAGTGAGGTCTGTCTGACTTCAAAGTTCTGGGTTTTTTCCTACCATACTTCCTCAATGTTCTTGCATAAGTCCAGTTTATGTAAGTTTTTCCCACTGACTTTAAGAGGCTACCTTTTCCAGATATCCCTTCTTTGGCCAAACAGTCTTAGGCTTTAAACTGAAGGTACATTGCAAAAAGTAGCTAGCTAGGGTAATTCACAAAAACAAACAGCACCTCTTACTTTGTCTAAAGCTCTACCTGGGATTGCTTTCAAAGTCTTCAGATTAGCCATGAAAAAATATTTACCAGAGCAACAAACTAAAAGCCATCTTTAACTCTTCACAAACACAATATTAAAAATAATATTCAAACACCAAATAATTTAATATAAAAAATTGACATTTTCAATTTATATTGAAATTTGAATGTTTAATACTGCCATCAAATATACCACTCATATAGGGATCAAAATAGGAAAAATACTATGTACCCATTTAAACACATGTTGGAAGTAAAGCAGAACACTCAACATTATGTTTTCTTTATCACTGAGGAAATTTTTAAATGGCTGAGGTCACATTCAGAGATTTCTAAATTCTAGTTTTTCTTATTTTAACTTGTAATGATTTACAGAAAACTATGAAAAAAGAAGTAGGAGAAACAATATAACTCAAAGTGGCCCAATACTTCTCATTATTTGCTATACAACACAGCAGAATTATTTCCACATTTCTTTACTTACATTTTTTTTTATATAACCCATTGTTTAACTTCGTGTTCCCAAATCTACCTGACCATTATGAACCTCATCTCTGTACTTTATTGTTAAATGTGATTTGGGTTATACATTTTCAGCATATACTGAAGTGAAATCTAAGGACTCTTCAAAAGGTGATGAACTTTCCGTGGAAGAATTACTTTATTTCAGTCAGCTTCATGGTAAATATTTACTTAAAAATTTAGCTATTCATTTAGTATAGTCTATAAATATTTGAGTTATTAACCAAACTGCACTTAAGGACTTTAACATGTGAAATTTCTTGTTCTTAGAGAATTAAGATTTTTTTTTCTAATTATGTTAAATTTTCAAACTGTGTCAGACCATTTTCTTGCCTTGTATAGGACAATGAAAACAATAGAATCTTTGATGATTAAAGGTCATAGCCATTATTCAAACAGTGGATACTTATTATAAAATGTCAGTGAAGGTATAGGATATAGTAATAAATCTATGTTCTAGACATAATTTAGAAGTGATAGGAACTTATTTGTCCTTTGTTTTATTTTCTTAAGTATGCAGTGTCTCACTGAGGGACAAATTCTGAATAATGTATACTTGTGCTTACTATATGTTGACGTGTTTGAACATCAAAGAGTACTTACAAATAATCTAATCAAGTTCCCTCATTTTGTAAATTTTATAGATTTATTGCCACACTCAATACCTGTATGTCATTCTTCTGACTTTGAGTATGTGTGTGTTTTTTAATTTTTCTGATAATAAAAATAATACAATTTAATTTTTAAAAAATCAAAATATCATCCAGAAATAACTATTTAATATTTTATATACTCCCTTCTAGGCATTTTCTTAAATATGGAAATTTCTCTAGGGATGTTTTTCCTATGAAAGTTCTTGAATACTTTGTCTTCTAGTGACATGAAGTCAGGTCAGCTAAAATTGACTTCCTGAATCAAAGAAAATAACATGTGCTTATAAGTCTTTGTGTGAAATACTATTTTAATTATAAAAAAAATATTTGTTAAATATTTTACAATATGCATTTGTCCTCTTTTCCTTCTAGTTTCCAAACCTGCAAATGAGAAGGAAGCAGAATCAGGAAAAAATAGCCCTGAGAAAGGTACTATGATCTAAAAATATCATTTAGTTTATTAAATTATTGCCTTTTATAGATAGTAATAACTACAGAAGAATGCATTACCATTCATATTACACATATAGAGCACAATTTTTCATATCTCTGGTTGTGTACAAAGTATATTCATACCATTTGCATCTTTATACATGTACTTAGGGTAATGATATTCGTCTCATTCCACCTTTTACCCCACCTGCCACCGCCTTTCCCCTCCTGCCCCTTTGCCCTATCTATAGTTCATCTAATCCTGCCATGCTCCCTGTCACAACCCCATTATGAATCAGCCTCCTTATATCAGAGAACACATTTGGCATTTGTTTTTTAGGAATTGGCTAATTTCACTTAGCATTATATTCTCCAACTCCATCCACTTACCTGCAAATGCCATGATTTTATTCTCTTTTTTTGCTGAGTAATACTCCATTGTGTGTATATACCACATTTTCTTTAGAGAGTGGATTGCTTTTGAAGGATATAGATTTGTTCTGATAACTTTTTCAGTTCGTTTGCATTAGTTTAGCAATTTATTATTTTTTAAGTCTCAGAAGTTATATAAAACAGTTAAGTGACCCATAATCATTTACTTTAATTACTTTAGAAATATGTATTTTTAATTACAAAAGTAATAGATAATTCTTTAACAGAAATTCATATGGTATATATCCCTTGTACCCCCACCCCACCAAGTAGAAGTTAGAAATACTTTTGACTGTATCCATTCCAGACATATTTCTGTGTATACACAAACATACCTAGACATTTCTCTTTCTTTCTTTTTAAATTTGGTAATTTTTTTAAAAAAATTATAAGTGCATTATAGTTATACATAGTAGTTGGGTTCATTTTGACAAAATCCTATATGCATGAAGTTTGATTTCAATCCCTTTCCCCCACTTTCCCTCCCCTCCTTCCTCTCCTATTCTCCTTCTTCTACTTAGCTGATCTTGCTTTTGCTTGTTTGTTTATTTTTGATTAGTACTTTCTACATATACATAAAGGTGAAATTCCCTGTGGTACATTTATATATGCACATACATGATCTTATTGAATTCATTCCATATTTCCTCCTTTTTCACCCCTCCTCCCTCCCTATTGAACTCCTACTCCACTGATCTTCCCTATATCTTTGTGATATCTGATCCATCCACCCCCACCTTCTTTCCTTTACTTTGCTTTAGCTTTCACATATAAGAGAAAATATTCACACCTGGATTTTCTGAATCAGGCTTATTTCACTTAGAGCGATATTCTCATTTCCATCCATTTACCGATAAATGTCATAATTTCATTCTTTTTTTAATGGCTGAGTAAAACTCCATTGTGTATATGTACCACATTTTCCAGAAATTCATTTATTGATGGGCATCTGGGCTAACTCTGTAATTTAGCTATTGTGAATTGTGCTGCTATAAATATTGAAGTGACTATACAGCTATAATATGCTGATTTTAGTTCTAATACCAAGGAGTGGGATAGCTGAGTCATATTGTGGTTCCATTCCAGGTTTTTTGTGGAACGTCCATACTGCTTTCCAGAATGGTTGTACTAATTTGCAGTCCTACCAATAAACATTTCTCTTAACAACAAAACAAAAAAATATTCCAGAAATACTGTTTTACAATTTTCTTTTCTTATTTTGTGATATGCCATGGAAACTTTTCACGTCAGTACATTTGGATCTAGACATTATACTTTTTAATGGGTGCAGAGTACTTCCTGATTGATTTTACTATGATTTATTTTAATAACTAACCCAATACTAATGGATATTTAGGTTGTTTCAATTCTTTCTATTGCAAAGTGTGCTGCAACAAACATTTTTATATTTTAATATTATTTTATAAATATTTCTTTGGGATTAGTTGAATTCATAGAAGTGTGGGAATAGTGAGTGAAATAGTATGTACAGTTAATAATTTGAGAGATATGTACATGTATGACTATGAAACACTGAATCCCACTATTATGTATAATTAAAATGTACAAGTAAAATTATGGAAAAATAATTTGAGAGAGGATATCAGATTATTCTTTTAAATCCTTTTAATTTGGGGGGGTACCAGGGATTGAACTTGGGAGCACTCAATCACTGAGCCACATCCCCAGCCCTATTTTGTATTTTATTTGGAAACAGGGTCTCACTGAGTTGCTTAGTGCCTTGCTGTTGCTGAGGCTGGCTTTTAATTCACTATCCTCCTGTCTCAGCCTCCCGAGCTACTGGGATTTCAGGTGTGCACCACCATGCCTGGCTCTTTTTAGATTTTTGAATAATATTTAGTTAAAAATAGTTGCATCTTGTTTAAATTCTTTAAAGGAATTAATAAATAAATAGCATTTTGAGTTTTTTAATAAGAGCTACCATAGACCATTTTTGTATGTACATATGAAATAGAGCTGGGTACAGTGGTCCATGTCTGTGATCCCAGTGACTCTGGAGGCTGAGGTAGAAGGATCACAAGTTCAAGGCTAGCCTTAGCAAATTAGCAAGGCCCTAAGCAACTTAGCGAGACCCTGTCTGAAAATAAAAAAATAAAAAGGGCTAAGGATGGACTGGGTATATAGTTCAGTTGGGCCCTGGGTTCAATCCCCAGCACCACAAAAAATAAAGTGATAGGGATGTGGCTTAGTGGTGAAGTGCCCCTGCCTTAAATCTCTAATACCCACCCACAAAAAAATGATATAGAGTTGGTGTGGTGATGAATGCCCTTAATCCCACCAACTCAGGAGGCTAAGAAAGGAGGATCACAAATTTGAGACCAGCCCCAGCAACTTGAGGCCCTAAGTAAATTTTGAGAAAAAAATAGAAATTTTTAAAAGGGGCCTGGGGATGTAGTACAATATTTCAATCCCTATTACAAGAAAAAACAAGAATATTATATCGAAGCTGATTTAAACTTTGTAGTGTGCATGTGTAACAGTGACTACAGAAAAGTTACATTGTTAAGTCACAGTATACTGTTTTCATTTAAAAACATTCTTTTTCCCACACTCTTCCTACATTTTCCCTAATCCTCAGCTTTCCCAAATTAAAAGTTTTAGTCTAAATGGGAATGGAGAAAGTATTCTGAGAACCAGTGGAGTAAGATCAAAGGTAAATTCAGATTATTCCTGGTTTAAAGAGATGGAATTTTATATCAGTGAAATGTCTTTTAATAATAATTTTTCTTTTAAGATTTGGAAAATTTAGAGAGCTATTCATTATGATATGGTTTTACTCCCCTCATTCAGGCAAAGGAAAAATTGATATTCAAGCATACCTAAGTCAGTGGCAAGATGAACTTCTTAAAAAAGAAGAAAACATTAAAGATTTACCAAGAATGAACCAGGTATAGTATTTTCAAGAGAAAAACTCTCAGTTCTTATATTTTTGTATGAATATGAATGTAACCAACTTCAAAATAGCTAATATACTTTTACAAATTAGTTATATAATCTTGTATGTTTCATCTCTTTAAGTTTCAGGTCAACATGGAAGAGAAGAACATTTTTTAATGATTTTTTTTAAGAACTCAGACTGGCATGATGGCACATGCCTGTAATCCCAGCAGCTCAGGAGGGTGAGGCAGGAGGATCTCAGTTCAAAGCCAGCCTCATCAACTAAGGAAGGCCATAAGCAACTTAGAGAGACCCTGTCTCAAGATGAATTATAAAAGAATGGCTGGGGATGTGGCTTAGTGGCTATATATACCTGGGTTCAATCCCTGGTACAAAAAAATACTTACATTTTTTACTTTAATGAACTTAAATGTTTCAGATAGGACCTTTGCTATGACAAAATTTGTACCTACAGGGAAAAAAATGTGTAACATGTTTTCAGCTTTTTCGGAAATGTTAATTTATCTAATAAACATGATTTTTAGTACCTACTATATGCCAAGCCCATTACTACTTACTGGGAATAAGAAATTACAAAAATATGTCACACATTGGTTTCTAATGATCTTGTATTTGAACATTCCCTAGATAATACTAATGATTACTTTTGATACAATTTTAAATTCATCTCTTTCTTATTCACTGTTTAGCCAGAATGTTCTTATATTTTTAAAATTAAAATCTAGTTTATATAGATATTGGAAATCCCCAGAACTTTACCAAAATGAGAACTGTCAAATAACTTAGTGTTTCTCCATGGACTACATAATCTGACCATTAAATAAATACTTTTTTAAATGAGTCAGTATGAGATATTTATTCTAAAATTACTATAAATGAATAATATTGTAGACTAAGGAAAACAAGCATTTGTTACAATATATTTTTATGAAGTACACCCTTTGTGTTTGCTTTTTGTTTACAGATGAACTTTTCTGGTTAGGTGATTGACTTATAGGACATTTGTGTTGGAATAACTTTTTTAAATTGATGAATGTTTCCAAGAACTGTTTTTAGATGTTCTAGGGACAAATAGCAGACCAACTAGTTTCTCTCCACTTTGGCCCTATCTCAGCATTTAAAGAGAAGTATAGGGCCGGGACTGGGGCTCAGTGGTAGAGTGCTTGCCTAGCATGTGAAAGGCACTGGGTTCTATTCTCAGCACCTCATACAAATAAATTAAATAAAGGTCCATCAACAACTAAAAAAAAAAAAAAGAGAGAGCGAGAGAGAGAGAGAGAGAGAGAGAGAGAGAGAAGTATGTCCAAATAGGTTCCCTAGAGCCACTAGATAGATTCCAAAAGTCATTCTTCCCTAAATTGTAGTTATTTTAGCTAAGCTGCCCACTCTTGCCCCTTGAGGAGATCAAAGGGAACTTGTTCTTAATCCTTTTGTTAAGATTGGTTAATGAATTAATGATTTACATGTAGGGAAATACGGGACTTTCTTTGCCTAATGAAAAGTGCTTTATAACAAAGTAATACTGATACACAAACTCTTAGGTCTAGACATAATATACTGCTATTATACAATAATCAAGAAGGCTTAAATGAAATTCTTTTATGGTTCATATCAGCTTTCTAGAGTCACAATTTATTTTGGGATTAATAATCAGTTCTAGAGTGAAGGATACATGCTATAAATTCTGTATAGGAGATTATCTAATGATTATTTTTGACACAGTTTTAAGTTCATCTAAGTTCACTTTATATTTGCTAACCTAACATTAAAATGTTATATTTCTAACTTGTGTCTTCTAGTCACAATTTATTCAGTTTTCAAAGACCCTCTATAATTTATTTCATGAAGACCCTGAAGAAGAATTATTATATCAAGCCATTGCTGTTGTAACCAATCTTTTGCTCAGGATGGAGGAGGTTGGAAGGAAGCTGCATAGCCCTACATCACCAGCAAAAGAATTCCCTGGTTCAGTCTATTCTTCTGGAGGACCCATAAAGGGAGAAACAGAGAGCCACATGGAGAAAGATCCCTCCTCTCTTAGGGAAGAACCTCAGTGGTCATTTGCATTTGAACAGATTCTTGCATCTCTGTTGAATGAACCAGCCTTGGTGAGGTTTTTTGAGAAACCCATAGATTTCAAAGCCAAACTAGAAAATGCAAAAATCTCTCAGTTAAGGTCTAGGACCAAAATGTAATTTTTTCAGCATCACAGTCAAGTTTACCAAGATTCCTGTAGCTATATCCCTTAGCTAAATTCCTGGGAGTTGAGATCAGGGATTTATTGTTGTTACAAATATGCTTGAAAACAAAAACAAAAAAGAGAAAGATACTCAGAAGCACAATTATATATTCCTTTGTGATCTCAAATTTTGATAGTCTCAAATATAATTATTCTTTTTATATTTCAGAAGATATGCAATATAACCACCAGAGGGCACCATAACATTTTTAGTAAGAAATTACTAGCTGGTACTGCTTTATACATGTGATTACTGATGATTTTTAAAAGGTGGTATTATGTTTATTGGTGATTCTGACATATCATTTTGATAAACCTTGTTTTCCAAATTGCCTCAGTACTATTAGAATTCTTTAGAAAACTGGGCTTTTAGATCTATAACCTTAATTATCTACAAGAATACCATTTAGGGCCCTCATTTTCCAGCTGTCTAACTAATAATTAATATTTTTTTAAAGTTTATTACATTCAATTTGAGTGATTTAATTCAATCATTCATAACAGTATGATTTGTTAGTAACTTCTACATTCTCTCTACACGAGGTGGGTATTCAGAAGCTGCTGATTCATACCACTAACTCTATTACTGATCAAAACAATTTCAAGGATTCTAAACTCTGAGATAATATATAAAGAAAAACAATTGTATTTGGATTTGAACTGGATAAATCCAGCCTTTAGAAAAGGGTTAAGAAACAGGTCTCTCATTAACCAGAGAAATTACTAGAAATTCTCCAAAATACTGCTGTTTGTGGCATTTGTTTCATAATAGTTTGTGATTATTTGGTTCTAGCTCTAAATTTTGGATTTTCAACAGTCGTGTTTTAATTTATGTTAGATAGTAAAGAATAATTACACTAAAACTGAACTGTTGTATTAATCTGGCAAGCATATAAGTATACTTGCTTGCCAAAATAATGTATGGAATTACCAGTGTCGATCTAAAAGGTTTTGACTATCTAATGTAAATGTGCAATATCTATATACTTTATGCTGCTTAAATTTCACTACATGACAGTCCATTTAGAGACATAATGGACTTTGTTAGCACTTTAAAAAAACAAAACAAGCAAACCACACTTGTCCATTCTTCTGTCCTATTTATGACAAGAGCAATTTATTCATCAGTTGGCTTAGGAAGTGGAGAAATCAACCAGTGGAGCTTATTTCATTGGTTTTAAACTCTTTGACTTTTCTAGATGTGAAACATTAAAAGGGCAAACCACTTTTAGAGTGCCCCAAGAAGTCTCCCTTTCTCAAAAGGAAATGGTAGAGTCAGTCTTTGGCAAGAGTCCACTGTGAACAAAACCTAACAAAGAGGAGTTTGTCACCATAGAATTTGTTATCTTCAGAAAAGTTAAATAATTTTCAAGGTGAGACTTTGAAATTCATAAGTTAGTTTTGGCCAGAAGTTTATTAGTAGTGTCTTTTATTACTATGATTTGATAACTTTGTCTTTTTAAGAAAATTACCAGTTAAAGAGATAGTTGGTAAATAAGCATATATGCTTTTACTCAGAAATTATTTGAAATCTGTCCAAAATTTAAAGCTTAGTAGTTTATTTGAAAACTCACACATCTACTATTATGCAATGATTGTTAAATTATACTACAATAGCTCTAGAAAGACAGTCTATGCTTATATACAAAGACAATATTATACATACTTTGTTGAATATTTTGTCAGTTATATTTACAAAAATACTTTTCTTAAAAGATGTTATTAGTATTTGATATTATTTTAAATTTAGAATAGTGAAGATAATATTGAGTATTGTATTTTAGCATAGATTAATCAAAATGAATATTTAAAGAGATTTTTAAGTTGAAGAAAGAGTATAAATTAAAGTTTAAAAAATTATTTTCTGAGTATGCAGGAGAAACAAGCTGAACTCATAGTTTTATAGCTAATGCCTTGTTAAGAAAATGGGTTGTTCTTAATATTAAAAAATCTTATGTAGTGTGTCAAACTGAACCAGTGCATTATATCTTTTACATTAAATGTGATAAGGTGGTTTTACTTGTCTTTATAAAAATAAATATTATAAATCTATTATATTAAACATGAAAATGGTTTACTTTTAGAGATTAATATTATTTAATATGATGTGCTTTATTTACATTTAACTCAAATTTATCACTTGAGGACTTCCCTGCTGTATCTATTAGGGTCAGTCTCAAGAACAGAATTCACTCTTAGTCTAAGCAAGAAAAGATTTATTATTGGGCATTAAATGACTTAAATAATTATTCAAAGTACTGACTAAATTGAGCTTTTAAAAACAAGTTTCAAGGGGTGGGATTGTGACTCAGTGGTAGAGTGCTCGCCTAGAACATGCAAGGCCCTGGGTTCGATCCTAAACACCACATAAAAATAAATAAAATAAAGCTATTGTGTCTAACTACAATTAAAAGTATATATTTTTTTAAAATAACAAGTTTCAAAGCCACACCACTACCATGCCACAGGGGAGTTACTAACTCTTCTATCATTAGGAAACTACTGCTTCCTACTGCCAGAATGAAAAGCCATCACTACTGCTACTACTACCAATACCATGCTCCACCTGCTCTGATTTACACCAGTGAAATAGATGCCTATCCCCTGTCTCTCAGCACCCACAAGCCAGTGACTATACTACAGTAGGGCAGCCAAACATCATCAACAACAGAGATGGCTGAAGCATAGTCCCCATCTCACTTTTGCTACTCGAGTTTCACGTGTAAGCATCTTTTTGGCCTGTAATGAATCCAAAATCATAATTACCAAGGAATCTGAGAAATGCAATTTTAGCACTTTAGCCTCTGCAATACAAGAAAGCACACTAAGAGGATAAAGTGAAGACATAGAGAACTGGTTTTTTTTTTATTGCTGCATAAAGAATTAGCATAGCACATTTATTGTCTCACCATTTCAGTGGGTCAGGACTATGGGCTCAGCTTAGCTAGGTCCTCTGCCTAGGATTTCACAAGGCTGCAACCAAGATGTCAGCCAGGCTAGTTCTCATGTAGAGGCTCAACAGGGGAAGAATGCACTTCCAAACTCACTCATGCTGTTGGCAGAATTTACTTCCTTATTACGGTCTGGAGGCACCAGCTTCTTACTAGTGGTTGAGTGAAGGCTGCTTTCAGCTCCTAAAGCCTTCACTCAATTTCTAGAAGTTGCCCTCAGCTTCTGCAAGCTGTCCATACTTATTTACCATGTGGGCTTCCCCAAAATGGCCACTTCAGCCAGCCAGCAAGGAGAGTCTCTCAAATAAGTCCATCACAAGAGTATTATAATGTAACAATCACAGTGGTGAGACACCATCCTCTTGCCCTCTTCCATTGGTTAAAGACAAGTTACAGATCTCCCCTCACTCAAGGGGAAAGGATTACAGAAAAGTATGAACATTAGGAGATAGAGATCATGGGATGAGTGGTACACAGAGTCTTATTAACCACAAGCCCCAATCTTCGCCGTCTGATATTCACCTTTTCACCTTACAATACACTTTTTTCATGCTTCTTTTTGTTTTTTTTGTTTTGTTTTGTTTTTGTTTTGTGAAACAGGGTTCCGCTACATTGCCCAGGCTGGCCTTAAACTAGTGATCCTCCTTTCTTAGCATTCTGAGTAGCCAGAATCACAGGTGTGCACAACCACGCCCCACTTATTTCCCAGACTTCTAAATAATAGCTAGTAGCAACAGCAAGCAGCTTATTCCTCTCATAACATAGATCCCCCTCCTGTAAACAAAAGTACACTAATCTCTCCTAAGGAAAGATCCAGGTTTCTATCAGTTACTTGAATCCAACCACAGATGTTCATTCTTCCTAATTTAGTCTCAATCCCATCTTGGTATCCTATAATGTGTGGGCTAAATTGCAAAGTTAATTATCATCAACTCACCATATACAAAATAGTAGAGGAAAAGCAGATAAGCAAATTGATTATCATAAATAAATATGTACTTCAAAGAAACAGGAAGAAATGGTATCTTCTATAGTTCTCATTTTGGCAACTGATCATGAGGCTCTCTCAATGTGGGTTTTTTTCTTAATCATACCTCAATTCAACTTTTTGGTGTACATTTCTATGAATTTTAATGCAGGTTTAACCATCACAGCAATTAAAATACAGAATAGTTCCATCATCCTGAAAAACTGCCTCATGGCGTCCTATTATATACTCTCTTCCTAATCAACCACTGATTAGTTCTTTGTCTTCCTTATGAAAGACCAGATGTTTGCTTTCCCTACATCCCTGATCCTTACAGCCATGTGACCAAGGAATGGTTAATCATGCACTTCTACCTGGAATTTCTCAATCTGTAGCAAGCAGAGGAACAATAGAGAATATAATATATTCTGATAACTGTGGTGTTATTTGCACATCAACATTCTAGTTCTGAGGTAGGAGTTAAGAGTGGTTTGAACACCAAGACTTAATCCTCTCTCCCTTTTTTAGGAGGAGTATTTTAGTATTTCAGTAAGTGATAGAGTCAGTGAAGTGTTTGCTTTTATTAGCTGGCATCTGTTTCTTTGGCTTCAAGTATACTGATACATGTGACTCTGGGGACTCTGTAGCACCAGATCCCTCAAGGCAAGGTAATTTTTCCAGTAGATACATTCCCAGGCATCTAATCACCAGAAAAAGTGCATTTTAACTTTTAGATCACATTATGCTTCAGTTTTCATTTTGGTTCCCAGAACTACATCTTTCCTCCATCCCATCAAGCAATAGATTTTCTAGGTCTTAATTCTACTTGTCTTCCTTTTCAGATAATGACTTTTCTTTATGGATGCTTTTAAGATCTGGACCTTTCCAGTGTTCTGAAGATTATGATGAATTGTCTATCTTTTTAAAAATCTTGTTTGGGATTAATAATTACATTTTGATAATTGACTATCATTCTCCAAGATCTGTCCACTTTCTGCACAGCCTAAATAGGCAAGTTACATGAAGATGTGGTTCAAATCAACCCCACCTCCCATACATACATTTATTCTTTGGAGATTCAGGGTGCACACATGTTTTTTGGTTTTTTGGTATGAGGGATTGAACTCAGGGGTGTTTTACAACTGAGCTACATTCCCAGCCATTTTTATTTTTTTATTCTGAGACAAGTTCTCACTGAATTGCCAAGGAGTACTCTGAGTTTCTGAGGCTTGTCTCAAACTTACAGTACTCCTGCCTCAGCCTCCAATTTCACCAGGAATGTAATATTGGCAGATACAGTGAATTCTACTTGTCCCTTCCTATCATAAATAGCCCCTACTGTACTGATCAGAAAGAAAATGTGGTTGATCTGTCAGTGAATATTGAACTAAGTTCACTACCCACGAACTAAGAAATGGCCATATAATGTATTTGCAGATCCACTGGACCCAATGACATCAATTCAAGGTAAAACTATGTCTCTTGACTCCATAAACTCTGACTCTGATCAGTGGATGACCATTGTGTTCTAACTCCACTGCACCCATTCCCAGTGATAAGTGTAAATTCAGTGTCCAATAATTCTGAAAATCTGAGTATATTAATTTTCCCAAAGTATATCCAGTTTTTTCTAACCTTTCCAGTTAGAAAAAGGAAAGCTAGAAGAAAGATATACAGTGTGTGCTCAGGGCATTGAAGTGTTCTTCAAAGGCACCTGACTTCCCTTTGAGAGCCTCTGGCAGGTCTACAAATGAATCTTCGTCCTGACAACAAATAGTCCTGACAAAGTAGGTCTATTCACCAGACAGAAATATTTTGGCTCTAAAATATGCTGCTCATTTATATTGATCTAAGGGACCTGAAGAACTATTAGACACCACTATTTTTGTAGGTTAAAACACTCAGATTACTTCTCTGACAATGCTCACTTAATTTCTGGTGATTATGTGTTGACACTTGGTTTCTACCCTTCCGTGTTCTCATTATTCTCAGTAGATTAGTAAAATTTGTCAATGGCAACATATAACTTACAGAAGACAGGCACTGTAGCATATCTTAAGTATACACAGGCTCCTTTTACTAATGTAATTTTTAATGTCTTGGGGAAGAGAGCATCCTCTGGGATCTGTAGGGTGACATGGTTATAATGTAGGTGAGTGGGCCATCTGTCATAAGTACACCCTGATGTTCCTATCTCCTTAATCCTTTAGAGTACTTCCTCTATATAATACCAACAAATAAGTTGGCATATAAACTTCATTTAATATGGGTTACTCTTGAGACTTTGGCTTCAGTGAATCAATTAAGCAAAGAGAACCACTTCCAATTAGGTGAGCTAATAATTGAGTGCAGAATATCTAGTAAGTGTATAGATGTTAATGTATTCAGCCTAATCTAAAATTACATGCCTTCTTCCATGGTTTAACATCCTCAATACATTCGCACAGATCTTCTTCAGAGTTCTGCCATTATAAATTATTAAAATCTTGAAATTCTTATCTACTTTCAGTTCATTCATACATATATACGAAATACACACATATCATCTCCATCTATTCTTGGGGGCATCGATCTAACTCTAGTTGTATGTCTGGGAGTGGTGAGAGGTGGTAGGGGTGATACATGAAGAGAGTTGACATTCTCCTGAAAATAACTTCAGCTGTTCAAGCAAGCCTCATCAAACAGGCTGCTTGTGCTGGCAAGGAAGCTCGTTATTGGAGTACTTAGTCACCTGAGTCCAACCAAATGATTCCATTACTATTCTTGGGCTCTCACTCTATTCTAATAATTATACTTACTTTGCAAAAGTGACCCAGTGGGGCTTTGAGTTCAATGTATATTGTAATTTAATAATGCATTGGATCAGACTCTTAATTTTCAGCTGTGTCAACTCTTTGTCAACAAGAAATAAGAATAACTGGACAATATGCCTGCAGTCCCAAATGCTTGGGAAGCTGTGGCATGAGAATCATTTGAGCCCAGGAGTTTGGGGCCCGCCTAGGCAACATAGTGAGACCCTGTCTCCTATGAGAAAGAAGCAAAAAGAATAGAAACTCAGTATTCTGTTTCTTCAATGGGTAATTTAAATCCTGAGATTGTCTTTTTCTTTAAATTCCAGAGCTTAGTTAGGAGTTAGTCCACTTTACAGTTCTTGGTTCCATCATT